GTTACTAATACCTTGCACCATAAAAACAGTTCAAGAGTCACGGCACCATTATGTTGTAGACCACCAGGTTCGCATGAACTGTTGTAATGAATAAAAGTCTTTTCTGGTCAAGATATACTTAAAATCCAACACCACAACACAGATATAAAATTGGGCAAGGTTACAAAGTGCGCAGAGACAATCTGGAACAAGATATATACAGGCCGAATAGAGGGATCCTTACTGTCCGCTCTCTAAAATCCCAATGAATCCGTTCGTATACGACACCAGTCAACAAAGCTACGATTCTTTCTAAAACAATCTTACAACTTTTACATCCTAATTAAAATACATCCTTTTCCTATAAACCATACATCAAGATAATACACATTAATCCTTAATAATTAACCTAGCCCTCTACAATATCGACCCGAAAAAATATTCATATTGTCGCCGATATTAATGAATTATGTGAAAATTGCTGAAGCAATGTTCATGTGGTTATCAAAGTCATTAAATGAATATAATAAAAAACTTTTTTTCATCAATTTCCATCATAAGTAGTAGAAATATTTGGGATTCGTAGCTGTAAAAGGAGGCTGAATTTGCATCCAAGTGCCTCCCTATTCATTTATTATTCAGTGCGATGAACGATAAGCGCTAGCAAGCAGAAATTAATTAAAACTTTGTTATATGGGAAGGCTTAGGAGCAAAGACGGTAGAACGGAGCCGATTTGACCTAGAGGAAGTCAGATGCAATCCTCATGTATTGTCTTGAAAATTACAAATAGTCGCTATTTTTTGCCTTTTCATTTTGAACAAAAAAATCTGACTTCAACTGTATCAACTTTTCAGGCAAACGCCGCCCTGTAGATCTTTAACCTCTCCTGCATTCGCTCCTACAGTTTAGCAGTCCAGGACGTTTACTCGTGTTCTTAATCCCGCTATAAATTCGAAAATAAAACAACGTCAAACCGGTTTTATTGACTTAACGATAAAATTATACATGCATGCCTTTAAACTTCGATGGAAATCTTTCGCGAGTATGATTTTACATCTGCAATAATTAACTTTTTTGCAACTTTATTAGTTAGCTAACGGCCCTCCGATGACGAGTTACATACACTGCAACACTTGAACTTAAGTGACACTTGAACTACAATAATTACAATGAAACCAACACGCTCGCAATAAGTCTATAGGATACCGAGACTCCGGAAACCTAGAACACACGTGTTCAAGTCGCGCACGTACACACGCACAAACACACGCCTACACGCGTGACGCACAAGATGACGTCACAGGCTTACATGTTCGATCCGTGAATGGCTGACGGAGGCGCTGCCGCTGAAGGGATACGGCGATAGTTAGAGGACAATTTTGTATAAAATGAAATATAAAAGTAATGATGTTGAATAAAGTAATGTGAGACGGTAAAAGGAAAGCAAGTGACAGGATTTAAATAAATATGCAGAAAAATTCATAATGGTTTTGAAGAAGCGAGCTCGATGATTCCTTCGGTAAATGAGCTTCTGTTCTATGGATGGAACTGAAAACCGCAAGGTTATGTTGAAATTCCCCTTGAAGGTTGTTAAGTCGTCATCTATGGTGATTTATGCTCATTTATAGAAGCACTTTCTCTATAACAAGCACAAAAATTTTTAAAGAAGTAGGAAATAGTCACTAAGAATTTAGGTATCGTGAAGCTTAATAGCCTCAAACAACACGCGCAACGCATAAGACAAAAAAAAAACACTTATCCTTTACCCAGAAAATCCTTCTCTTGCAGCACAAAAAAATTATGATTGAACGATGACACTGTAACGCTTCTCGATAGAAGAATCTGATGAATTCCCCAGTCACTCATCAGCACCTCCGGCAGCTGCCATAGCGCTCAGAGAGGCAGGACTTACAGGCGAATATTTGCCTTCAATGAGGATGCCCACTGATCGGAATTAATATTTAATGCCTAAATAATATTTTTTAATTGACTGCGTCTGGCTTCTTCTAGTTCCTAATTGACGTAACATTAAGGTTGATCTAGAGGATCATTGCACTATATTCTTATTTGTTCGATTGCTGCTAATACTATGCAAGCCTCTCACTGTCTTGACCAAGAACTGATGCTTGAAGTACAATGTAAAGTCTCAGTTCGATCAGAAAGTTCTCATTTCTCTCGTCCATCAGCAGTCCCCGTGTCACTCGTCCATCAGCAGTCCCCGTGTCTCTCGTCCATCAGCAGTCCCCGTGTCTCTCGTCCATCAGCAGTCCCCGCGTTACGAGTTACGGTGCAAATCTCTTCATGCGTGGGCTTCGCTTGAAATTTTCCTTTGCAGCTTCTTAGCACTGTTGTGACAATAAACAAATTCATGCAGTTGGAAAAAACTTAACATGATGTTCTAAAATTTGAACGCATGAAGCAATTAATTATTAACATCCACTTCATTGTCTGTGATCAACCGCTGAAATTGGCCCACCCAGCAGGCCAATTATGCAACGTCTGCACAGTTGACGTTCAGATGATTCAACTCCGCATGAGGAAAATCCAGTATTATTTGTAATAATAATATACATAGAAGCCCATGTATCCGAGTTGGATTTTTCCTGGCAGGCAAGGAACAGTCATAGTTTGTTTGCATCGCACGTAGATTCTACTTCTTCCTCTGGCTCAAAGAGCTTCGAATCGCTCGAAATTAATTAAATGATCAGCAACGGCTTGTATCGTGATCAAGGGACTCCAAAACGCCATAAATTTAATAATTATAAAATTGGCAACCAAATTTCTAACTAACTATAATAATTAGAAGACTAAAATAACGAACAGAATTTCAGCGAACCCCAATTAAAAGCCAATAAATCAACTTTTTTAATATAATACAGTTTTATTTCACCCGACTCTAATTTTGCAATGCATGAACGCATTGCAACGGCGATTCGCTAGGTAATTTAAGTTTCTTTTCACTTTTACCAAGTTTTACATAGAAATGCCACTTCAGACAAATCCATTGAATGCTTGCTTGCCCTCATCCTTCAGAATTAACATAAGATATTTTCAACTTTAGTCTAAAAAGAAATTTAATAACCAATTCAAGATAAATGGAGTTGGTCTTAGCGCTGGCAGTATACACTAAACATTGTTTAACACAATCGATCAAAGCTCATCAGAAGATTTCATGAAACTGGCAGAAATTAACGCATCAACCAAACAATTTTTTTGGCTTTCCGTTGGGGCTCTGGTCTTTGATAGTAATAAGATAATCACAATATCGAGCGATTATCAATTAACCGATAAATCGCACGAGCGAACTAGGAAGTACACGAATAAACGAGACAAAAACAAACGAGGACACGATAATTCAACAAGCGATGACGCGATAATTCAACGCTACCTACCCTACCTTCCGCTCCTATTTGGCTAATTTTACGTTAGCTCCAACAGGCCGGCGATGGAATTGTTTAAGCGTGCGGGTTAACATTGAAGTCGTGCGCCAGCGTCGCCTTATCTTGGCTGCGGTGAGAGACGACGACGTGCCTCTCAGTCGCGCCTCTCAGTATTCCATGGCGGTGACTGGTGTGGCTTTCATTCACATCTACGTTACGGGACAAAAATCAATAGGACTCACACTCATGACGTCACTCCGTGCTTGCTCTTTCATTGGCCAGCCACCTCTCTGATAACATCCCATTATTTATGAGAGCAGAGAGGGACTAGTTCGCTGAGCGCCTGGTTACCGGAGAACCCTCGGTGCCAGATATCACTACGCCGGACACTGAATTTTGCTCGACCAGAAGCCATCGCGGCCTGGTGACGTGTAGCTGAGCGGAGATGTGGAGACGGCGAGCGTGCGAGTCACTAAGCCATACGTGACTATTATGCTCAATATAAGTGAAAAAGAGACAACAGCTTTGAAAAAACACGTTAACTGTGTTGCAGAGTTGTCAGAGTGTGACGTTGTCTTGCAGTGATCCGTGGCTCTTCACAACCTTCTATCGATCAGGTGGCCGAGTTATAGGGGCGGCGACGGTGGCTCGCAGGCTGCTAGTAAATCTATCCACTTTTTATAGTTATTTATCTTCAATTTTATTGCCCCAATAACCTACGATTGAAGTGAAGTGTTAGTTTAATATCACTTCGCAGTGTTATAAGTGTTACAAGAATCATCAGAGATCAGTTAACGTGTTTGTAGCTGTAGCGAGAGACTGGTTTCGGGCGCAGGAATGGTCCCGAACTCCCCCTCGATATGTGGGCTGAAGAAGCAACTTATTATATCAAAGGTTCTTCCATTAGGAAACTGATTCAGTTGGAATAATTTAATTTCTTGTATTCCCCTTCAACTTTTTATGCAAGAGAAAAAGTGTATGCCAGTTGTGTTTTATTAAGTTTTTCAGTGTATTTTTGGTGTTGTGCGTAAAGTGGTTCCCGAAGCTCTCGTCCAAAAGCTCTTGTGTTGCGGTGCTCGAGCCTCGAGGCTGGGGGGAAGGTGGGCATGGCGCCTCCTGCTGGGGCGTCGTTCCCCACGCCTCTAACAGGCCCCTAGCAGGAGCTGTGTAGGACTATAATGGCAGGGGAGGGAGGTGAGGATCTCATGCCGGACCTCTCGCATCTTGACGACCATGAGCGACGTATCATCGAACAGGTTATGCAGAGGCATCGCCTCGAGGAGGCCAAGGAGTCCGAGCTCGTTAGGTCAGTTCCAGATCTTCGTCAATGCATTTTTATAAAATTTATGTTCTATCTTTTTCAAAGCATCAACATGGAAACAGTTCAATTTCTTCAATTAACAGGTAACATAATACAGCGAATTCAATAAACTATACATTTCTCCTCTAGTAAGTTCGTTAGAATTACTTTTGTCGTCATTTGAGGGCTATTGGATAAGAATATGTCCAGACATTGCCCACGTTACTACATTAATTTTAATGATATAGTATCATTACCTTGCATATCCGTAGCTTGCTTACTGCCTGAATTCAACATATAAATCATAATTCAGATAGATTATATAACGAGTACTTCTACGCAGTCAAAAAATTACTTGGACCTTGAGTTTGCACAATGTAACAAATTGTAAGCCAAACAAATATACTTGTTTCTCCAGCATTGAAGTGCATATCTATTTCTGTGCTCTTATGCATTGCTTACTCGGAAGACGGTACACATTTATTTATAGTTCAAATAACTTGGATTTACAATTTCGTCACTCGCGCCACGAAATCACGTCCGAATACAAACGGGCTTGAAATTTGACCAACATAGTACATTTATATCGAACACAACATTTTTATTTGAACAGGGATTCCCTGTAGAGCGTAAGCATAATTTTATGATAATATAACTGCATTATTGTCGTTAAAGTATTTGTTATAACATCATGTACCTATAGCTTCGCTTGCACGAAGAAGTCATGGTCGCTTTGCTATCTGTTGGCAGAGATTCACATGCAGATCAATAGACTCTGTGGTTGCAGGTCTCGAACAGACACAAGTCTGCGGTGTTTGAGTTCCATGTTACACTTACGCTAGAAGGTCACGGTAGCATTTAGCTACCCGCATGAGCAGAACAGCAAGAGCAGGAAGACTGGTGAGCTGTAGAACCTGGCCAAGCAGACGTGTTATGCACCGAGCATGGTTGTTATGATCGATCTATGTCTGTGATCAGAGATATTTAATAAATTGTGTAACAAAATCTACTGCCGTACTAAAATATGCAATAATAAATCAAAACAATAACTCGAATATCAGAAGCTCATTTATGTGCTAAGTAAAACGTCATTTAATCATTTTGAAGAGAACAGCGGTTGTTTCTTTTATTGGATGGAGAGTCTAATACCACATACGAAAGCAATCTTTTTATTTCTTAGCAAATAAAGCAAGGCTCTTCTGCAATCTGCCCATTACTGACGTTACGGCCAAGATGTCGTCTCGTCAAGAATCTAGAACTTGTTCCGCAAATTGCCTATGTTAAATTATCATATTGGTAATTAACAGGAATTAACAGGCTAATTGCCTGATAATTGCCTTGATCCGAAACAACTGCGTGCAAGCAGTTGTTTATGGTTATCTATATCTGCCATGCATGCTGTCAAGTGTCGCCTGATCGATTTTCATTAATTGCAAGAGTAGAGCTCAAGGATTGTTCTTTGCACAAGTTTACATTTGAAATTTTGGAAGAAGCTTCATCATTTTACGTGATGCGTGTTTACGACCCCTAATAAACTTTTGTATAAAATGTAAATAAATAATTATTTCCTAGTGATAACTACTTGGTTTTAACACGCGAGAACATCAATATTTATATATAATCTTTCAAAATTTTGTTTAAAAAATCGTGGAAATTCGAGAGATTTCTAGATACTATAAATTTACTATAATATGTTCTCTACGACCGGAGAGAAGCTTCAGGCATTGCAATGGCCTGCTAGCAAATAAACCATGCTAATTTAGCGCGATTTTTAAATGAATTATTGAACAATTTATATTTGAACATATTTTTAATACGTCCCATGAATTATTTTTAACATACTTCAGTTGAATAGATCAAAATAGCAGGCAAAATGTGATCTTACAAATGTCTGATGAATTAACGCCATAATTTTTTGAATTTCAGTAAATTTACGTGCACAATCTTGTCAAAACTATAGTTCGTGTTCACTTAGTTCTATGACGCTCTCATCCATTTCCTAACATGTCAACATTTCTCCAACTCATGTGCGATAACATCGCCATCATTCATGTCTGTTTAGTTTTAATTGCCATTCTTTGTTGGAATATAACCATTCTCCTCAACCGTTGACCCAAGGAAAAATGGTTAGATTTATCACCGGATCGAATAATAATATAATAACAATAATAGAATAATAATAAAATAATGCATTCATGATGCAACACGAACTGTCACTTCCTGCATGTCACAAGCGTCCTCGCAGACCCGACCTATTCTGGATAGAAGAGCCGTTAAGTGAAGCCATTTCTTTGGTGTTTCCCGCTAGAGCGCAGCTGCTCATAGCGGGATATAAAGGTTTCAGTGCAGCATAAAGGCAACCACAGATGAGGGAGCCATCAGTCACCGCTTACCCTGTGTGTTGTGTGTGTGTACGTCTGATGCTTTTCTCTGTGTATTCTCCGTATTATTTGTGCATGAAAGCGCGTGTTATGAAACAGTTATAAAACAGATTTTAATGCATATCATGCAGTTACGCGATGAAACTACGATACGAAACGATTACGATAATTAGAAAATAGCAGCTTTAAAACTATTTGTGAAGTCGATTTGCATTGCAATGACACTCTGTACATTTTTTAATAAATATATATGGTCTTCTTATCCGTATATATAATATATATTATCCGTATATAATCTATATTATGTAAATATTATCTTATCCGTTTAAAATACATACATATTGATCGTCCTATCCGTAAAATAATTTTTAATTTAATTTTGATTATTTCGCCATGGACTCTTCATTCGTCGATTAGGCGAATGAAAAGTCGGATTTTGAATCCGGTCGCAAACTCAGCGTTTGACTTTAATGAGTAATCGTTACTTGCGCCTTCAATCTCCATAGTTTATACTGGGCATAGTAAAATTTAGGGCATGAAAACTTCCATTGTAAAATTATATTAATCTTCCGTCCCTTGCAAATCTTTCCTTCTAAGTTGTTGCAATGTCCTCTGAATCGATATTTAACTCCTAAAGAATCGTAAAAATTGTGTACAGACACAAAACTGATTGATGATTTTTAACATTTGGTCACCGAGTCGTATGGTCGTTTCGAATTTCGAACCTTATTGTTTTATTTAATTGCTACTTGTATTTTTTGCGACATTCATAGTTAATGGACAAAGTTGTAATGGCACAACTTTTAATAGAAGTCTAGCCATGCCAATCCGCAGTCATATACCATTTTATTACGTCTTTTATTGTATACGTTTCAGTTTGAAGATAATCGAATAAGGTATAAAAATATTACAACTTCATTGCCTAGGTTCGAACCGGACGTTCAACTAACGAGCCACCCAAGACATCCAAAAATTGTGCACATCGAGTTTTTTATTCGTTCAAATCATCATCAAATTACTGAAAATGAACAACTTGAGTCGTGGAAATACATACTTTTCAAGAACTTGACGATTCAAAGTTTTAGTACTGAACGCAAGCCTGTCGCGCACTGTTTTGATTTAGCCATGATAAGCCCTCGGCACTACCACGATATTGTGTGGGGAATATATGCCCGCTATGTAAGGTAAGACGAACGTTCTCATCTCAAACTTCTTGATGAGTCCTAGATTGGTGTTTTTTTTCTAAATTTCAATATTTTCGCGTGTTCAGATGAACTCAGTAGTTATCACTAGGAAATAATTATTTATTTTTTCTTTATACGAAAGGTTTGTAATGTAAAAATGTAAGGTTTGTAAATGGTTTGTTGTAATAATTTCAAATGTAAACATGTGCAAAGAAGAATTCTTTAGCTCCACTCTTGCAATGAAATTTTATCATTCGACGCTTGGCAGCATGCACGACAGTTGTAACTACAGCTCATAAATATTTAGAAGCGCACGTAATTTCCAAATGCTGCACTTATTTCTTAGCTTTTCTAAGAAATGAGTGATAAGATAATAAATTAATAGTAAGATCATGAATAAGTGAATAATTCTAACCTAATTATTTATTTTCAAACCCACGTTCCACTTCTTGGTTGTACGAACTCAGGATCATCGAAGGCTCAGCCAGCCTTCATTGGGTCGAGATCGATAGATAAGACAGCATAGTGTGTGTGCTCCATGGCACCGCTCTTGTGTCCATAAGATGACAGCATGATATGATGATAGCTTATGACATGCATTTATATTATTTTCGTCTGAATTCATATCACAGGTGTCATTATGACGGCATTATGCTCATCTACATATATTCATCACACTCATGTCCACATATGCCAGCATTATTCTCGTCTATTCATTCCTCTCATGTCCATATAAGAGCATAATGCTCGTAAACATTTATCTAAATCGTGGCTTTTATTGAAGCACGTAAATAATTTATCTGTGGTCGCTCTAAACAGATTTACACGTGCTTTATAATTTAATTTCAAACCTTTCAATTTTGAAAGCTTTTGAAATGAACTAATGCGTCCACTATAAACATAATATGATAGACCGGAAACTTTCTTAACGCTCAGGAGGAAGCGTGAAGAAGTACGCGTGTTGGAGGATACCATCAGACTTCGGTCGGAGTCGCAGAGAAGGCGCGGGGCGGAGCTGGAGGCAACATGCCAGATCTGCGTCAAGACCAAGTTCGCTGACGGTATCGGACACCTCTGCCACTACTGCAACGTACGCTGCTGCGCTCGTTGTGGTGGCAAAGTCACGCTCAGGTCTAACAAGGTGAGTACACTGTGAGTTACGTGTGTCAGGCTTAAAATATCTTTCATCAGATCGCAGTAGCATCAAAGTAATACGTTATGGATGTGCTTGTTGCGGGGGCAAAGTCACGCTCAGGTCTAACAAGGTGAGTACACTGCGTTTAACGTGGGTCAGGCTAAAAATATATTTCAACAGATCGCCGGAAGATACAACTGATACGTTATGGAACTATTGAATGAATGTTTCTTTGATTTAGTGCAAAACTTTGTGTTCTTTTCGATTACAAATCAATTTTATGAAGAATAGAATATACTTAGAGCCTACTCAATCAGATTTCTGATTATCATGCTTATTTCTGAAAGAATGGCTCATATAAAAAAAACTTTCATTTAATACTTTTTTAAAAGATGAGTGTTTTGGAACAAAATATCAGTAAATTGCGATTCCAGTCTGAAAATAAAATACTTAAAAAAAATCTTTTTAAAAAACCACGTTTTTCTTGTGGACTAAAAAGTAGAAAATAAATTATGGCTCGCCCCAAAAAACGTGTGTCGGGTAGATTTATGATTAAAGCGAAAAGCATACAACACACGAATTTTGAAAATTTGATGGTGAACGTACAGCCCGACCCACGTTTTTTGGGGCGAGCCATAATTTATTTTCTGCTTTTTAGTCCACAAGAAAAACGTGGTTTTTTAAAAAGTTTTTTTTAAGTATTTTATTTTCTACTTTTTAGTCCACAAGAAAAACGAAAAAACGTAGGTCGGGCTGTACGTTCACCATCAAATTTCCAAAATTTAAAAATCTGCCCGACACACGTTTTTTTGGGGCGAACCATAATTTATTTTCTACTTTTTAGTCCACAAGAAAAACGTGTTTTTTTTAAAAGTTTTTTTAAGTATTTTTTATGATTGTATCTGAAATTGTTAGGCGAAAATAGCCTGCATGCCGAATTTCAGATCTCTAGAGTATTCAGAAGTGGGCTAATTTTCGTTGTCAATGTTAACAACAAACAAACAAACGCGAAGCTGAGTAAAGAAAAACGTGTTAATATATTGGCGTGCGACACTACACATCGGATCGCAGGGAGTGCATATGGAGGCAGCCAGCCCCGCGTCAGGTGGGGCCCTCTTAACAATATGCTGCCAAATCAGGCAATTTCTTTCAAAACTTCGCCAGGACTGTTTGTATTATTTGGCGGTCGAAACATTTCGCGAAGATTGCATACTATTTCTTAAGCATGCAAATGCAATTCCAACAAAATTAGGATCAATAAGTTACTGCCTACGAACATAAACCGGACACTTTTAGGCAACTAAATAGTTCAGTGGTGGCAGCCAAGCTAACAGGCCTTCCTTCGAAAATTGCCAACTTCTTAAAATTGCTTTCTTTTATTTGCCCGTTTGCCTTGATGTGTGGACAAACGGTTGATTGACCTTGTTTACCATCGTCTTAATTCTTATTCTTATTCTGTTGCAGTAATTTCATACAGCTTAGCCCTATTCTTTTCATATTAAAACCATGTCATACTAACAAAAAATAACGAGAGGTAAAAAGATTGAAGTGCTTCCTTCAGCGGAAGCAACAATGCAGTTGTCCTCAGTTTTGTTCATGGTGGATTACGTGACTGAGATTTTGCTCAGAAAATATTTCGATTCATTCATCGCTCAGCGTGAATCTCGCCATGATACCTTGTTTTGATTGATGCGTTATAAAAAACTCATTATTTTCTGCAGTCACTGAATAATTACTTCTATATGTAATAAAAGAATGAAATATGTTGTGTTAAGCTCAGCTTCGTTTATGTACTGAAGCACCTACACTCGACTCTCCTCTCCACGCCGATATCGTACGTCAGGCTCCACCAAGTGATCGTGCGTCTAGCTTTACTGGACAATGACGTCACACTCATTGATTTTCTTCTCTCTCCGCAACATGAAATTCGTTGTAGCTTCCTCTCTTCGTGATCTGCTCCAATATTCAAAAGAATTACCCTTGATGTTTCCAAATTGATGCTTCTCAAGCTTCCTAGCTGGTCTACCTACTATTCCATGGCGTGCTAGCAGCTAAGTCTGTTAATCCACCATGTAGACTCTTGCACTTATTTGATTAACCGTTAAACATGAGTGTCTCAAACCATTTAAATAAATATATAAATTTGATGGAACATTTGATATGAACGAGAATCAAACCATTTAAGGCAGGAGCCTATATAATTATCTTACAGCTAAGACGTGTTTTCATTTGATTAGAGGCATTAGATATACTGTATAATACCATCTTAAAAAGAGAAGTTTCGGTAATCATTCATCTGTGTTCGCTATTATGAACAGCCTTAATGATGTCCTTATTTACTTTACAGCTAATATAAATCAACAGTTGCTGCGGAACGATTCCGGCATCGATTTAAATGAAGATATCCGAATCGCTGAACGCAAAATGTCGAACAGCACTAACAAGTTTTTTCTTGATGCTATGTAAGATGGGATCGCACACAAGTGTAATAAGGCTTCGATGCAGTATTATGGGGCTCATTATTTTTACATTCGATGCAGCGTCTTCGTTTTTTCTTAGCTATTTTTATTGTCCAAAAATAGAGCAATCGTGCACGTACTAAGCGTTCCGGGAATTCGCCGTTACATAAAATTAAATTTACGATTGTTGATGATTTATTTTTCCGTTTACAAATGTATAAGAGAATGCATCACTCATCATGTAAGTTTTTTTCGTGTTTTTTCGTTTCTTAATGCATGTAATCTACTTCCTGGATGATGTTCTGTATGATGAGTGTGAAAAATGTCCAGAATTGATTCCAAACCACGAGACAGGTGCAGCCTGCGCTACTCCTGCTCACTTGCTTGCCGAAACATGAGCCGATCGAAGGCTCTTGTCGTGTCGAGTAAAGCTCGCGAATTCCTGTCTTCACGATGACCTCATCTCCAATATCCACATAGGAAAACATGTCTAAATGGATTGGAGTAATAGAATTTATGCATAATAATATGTGAACTTGGGAACGGGTAGACTAATAATTAGAGCGTGGCAGCAATGCGCTATCGAACGAACCCGAATGCAAGTCAAGAACCTAACTATTCGTAAATGACAACGTGTGTCAGCATCGAAGTCGATTAGCGCCCTCTGTGATCTATTCGGTATTGCGCATAGTGAAGCTCTGTATCTGTGTACTGTTATATACTCCCTAGAATTATCTAGAGGTGCGAGTTCTTTTTGTTTGCTTCCTTATAATCAGTATTTGTACTGCCCAATTCTGGTTTTCTTATTCTCCGATTTCATTACTCATTTATGGCATTATTACCATGTGAATTGGAGACTTTAGTCCAAGCCTCAATCCTATTCATAGTATCTCATACAAATTAAACATGTTCTTTGTCCCCTGCAGGTGATATGGGTGTGCATTTTATGTCGGAAAAAGCAGGAGCTCTTGACGAAGACGGGGTCGTGGATGAGTGGGGGCCCAGGAGATGACCCAGAGTTCGACTACGGAGCAGGTACGCACAGATCTCCATCTACTGACAGACGGGCAGAACACAGAGGTAGCCATGACGTGTCCATAAAACCAGAAGCTTTAGATAAACTCACAAGTAGCGGGAATAAAGGAATTTTGAGGGAAATTTTTACCCACAGTGGTACAGAGTTGAATAGACAAGTTATTTCTACTCAGCATCCTCAGTCCCAAAGATCATGGAATGCTCTTAGTGGTGGAATTTCAGAGCAATATGTTGGAAGAATGAGCCTGGAGGCAAGTGGGACGCTTGCTCGAATTGGTACTGAAGGTTCTGATGTCCAGGCTGAGTCCAGTCCTAGACTTCCAGAACCTGCTCTTGCGTCATCAGGAAGTGATTTCACTGGAGGTACTGACGACCGAGCAGATAAATGTTTTCAAAATGTAGGAAGCTCGTCGGTGTTTGGTTATTCTGGTCAGCGCCAGAGTGAATCTGGTACTGGGTTGGCGAGTCCTATGGACTCTAGTGGCGTGTCTGGCAGAGGAAGCACCGAAGGAAGTAGTCACAGGTCAGATGAGTCGAGGAATGAGCCAGTCGCTAGCACAACTCGGGACCGCAAGAGAATGGACCAGGTTGTCCGCAACGACTCCTTATCGTCTGACCAAAGTGAGAGCGTCAGGCCACGACCGCCTCGTCCACATCGTACGAGGCAAAATCGGGATCGCAGGGCAAGACAACGCTCTCTTTCATCGTCTGACGAGGAACTCTGGTCGACTCCAGAGTATACGTCTGGAGACGAGCCGACGGAGAACATTCCAGAGAAGGGTGAGGTTGTACGTCCACAATATATAATTTTCTTTGCCTGCTTTTGTTATCTTCAAACATAATATTTTTCAGTGTTAAATTTGTGCTGCAAATACGACAAGAAACATTTGTCAACTTTTCTAACGTTTAGAATGTCTTGTGAAACATTGCGTCTTGGTCAACATTGATGGGTCCTAATTTGTAGGTATTTCTCCACCCACAGGATGCTCGGAACTCGTCTCCAACCACAACTGGCTGCGAGAACAAATGGTAGAAGCACAAATTAAAGAGTTCTTAGCGGTGAGAATGCTATTGCTTTGCCATGCGCTTGAGCACATCCTAGGCTCTTTGCCCTACCAAGCAGAACTTGTCGCTACCACGTTGTGCTCGTGTTCCATGTCTCTTGAATGTGAACTTTCATTCAGTCTTCATTCATTTACGTTCTCCTCTTATACCCTAAGGCAACTGTAATTAAGGTCAGTCCCATGAGTTTATATAACAAAACCCATTTCACTTTTTGTGGGCAAAATTTTTTACTTCTCATTTTTTCGTATTTATCGCTCTTTCTTCAGTGATATTTCTTCATTTCCCATTTATCATCGTCGCTGTTTTAAATATTAAGTTAAGATCTTCTACTGGAAAGCACGATTCGGGTGACGAAAGAACCCCTGAAAAATACATTATATGTATTTAGATAAGAATTTCCATGTTATAGATCTATTCCTAACATTTTCTGTTCAAATTTGGATTTAAAAGAAGACTTCAATCAACATTTTGTACCAAATTTCGTTCTCGTCATTACATTTTTGGAGTAATGTCCGTTGCCTGCGATTCTCGGAGCGTTTGAAACTTTTCAAGTCGGGCGCCTATACTTTTGATACCGGCAAATTTTTATTTCCTCATTAGTTGAACGTTCAGTAATTTTTGGCAATGCTATCTTCTTTACTGTTACTCGAGCCTGTGTTGGTTCCATCAGAACAATTTTTACTGACGTTAATCTTATTTGCACAAATCCTTCTCACGCGCAATAACTTGTAAACTTTATTCTCAAATTAAATGAGTATGTATCGCTAATATCATTTATAATAGAAAAAGGCCCAGCTTTTTCTTCCCATTTTCCAGTCCTTCATTTATATATCGCGGTTTGACGGTAACACATGCAAGAAATACTGGGACCGTTCACTGGCATTGCACCGAATGTTCATCACATCTTGATGCAGTTCAATCATTTTAATTTCCTCACATGTAACTTTTTTTTACTTTTAGCAGGTTTAGGAAGTTTTTACCAATTATTATCAACTACTAAGGGGCAATTGACGTAATATTTTCTACCATTAACTGACTTACTGACGATTTCCTTGCTCTGCCAATATAGCGAAACACATTATTTCGAAAATTATTTTCTGCAGCCATAGTACGTTTGTACTGGCGCCTTCTAATACGCAGGTCAAACTTCGGTACCAGTTGGCTAATTATAGCCACTGCGGGAATGGTGACACCGCTGTATATTGACTTCCAATCAATGTGACGTAGCATCTTTATTTCAAAAACGAATGCATGCTTTAAAAATTGATATTGCGCTTGGGAAGGCTTTTTATTTTTGTTACAGCACTGAAATCCCTCCTTCATCTTCCCTTGTCTGCTCCATCTAACAGTTTTCCATTACCCAGGAAACGTCATGCATTCGGTTACGTTAGGTGCAATTTCCCTGTCTTTTTCCGGATACATATATGCTCAAGTCCCACTTTGCTGAACCAAACAATATTCTCTCGTACAGAAGGTTTATGTCATAGGATGAGGTCATAAACTTACTGAATATTGCAGAATTTTCTTACTTCTTTTTTTGGCATTTAATCGGCGCCGGTGAAAAGCGAAATTAAGATTTATTATAGACGATTTGTTTACTGTATTTTTAATTTCGTATTTATTGTAAGAATCAATTAAGCATATTGAATATACTTCAACGGAACTATCATTCGGAACTAACTAACAATGGAACTAACAAATATTTCTGACAGTTCTTTTCTCTTCAGTTTCTTTCATTCTTAGATGAATATGATTTATCTGGTCGAATGCTTTTTGATACCAGTACGATTTTTCTTCCGGTCTATTCTCATTTATACGGTAGAATTGTCTATCAAGAATAAAACAATTAGAACGCAAGATCATAAAATGACCAACTATCGTAAAAATTACCCTTAATCACGAATAAACGGTCGTTTTGAGTTTATATTCTGTGTAATTTATAGATGTTACTCGAAAAAATTTCAAACAATAGTTCTTCTAATGATAATTTTCACCAATTTTTATTGTCAATCAATTGGATTCATATTTTTGCTTTACAACCTGAAGAAAATTAGTGTCCCATCAGTGATGAAATCGTGGATCTATATATTACCTTGTAAGTTCTGCACACGAGCCGCAACAGATAGAAATGTAACAAATACCTAATAGAGGATACATCAGGCAAGATCGTCAACACTAGGGTCACAAAAAAATGCAGCTCGTTAAATTTTTGGCCAAGGTGATTGTCGTTGATCTAAGAAACCTGTGAAAAAACTCCTCAGACAATCTTTTGTCGTATGGTCCACATAGACTAGAAAGCGCGACGTCTAAACGAGTCGTTGACTTGTGCACATAACTCGTGGCTCTACACTGTACCCCACTCGTCAATTACTGATCTTTTTGAACATCTCTTTTCTATTTCAAACTTTTCGTCTGGAGAATGAAGAAAAAATTTTTCATTATTCTTTGTCTGCCGGTCGCACTATAGCCAATACTCTAGGAACTATTTTTAGTAACTAAATATGTTAGCATTTTATTTTAAGAAATATGCAGGGAACAAAGTGTCATCCATTCATCGAAATTACATAATTTGTGCCTGTGTGTGTGTTTTAAAAGGGAATTACCATTCGGTGCACTAAAAACTGTTCTCATGCAGAAGAACAGTACGTTTGTGGTCAGTGTAGCAAACTTCGCTTCTCTATCATTCATGACAACAGAGGTTTTCATGAAACGGAGGACTTGATGTAATTCATGATAACACAGCCCCTAGGAATGGATTTGATATACTCTCTCACACCAGCGAAAAGCAAGTTGCAACTAACACGAAGAGTAAGAGCAATCTCACGAAGCTGACTTTCAACCATCAAGGAACTTGAAAAGTTGATACTTCGAATCTTGAAAGTCGAAAATGATGTAACTTTCCGTCTTTGAACTTGAAAATTCGAAAACATCGTTTTTTGCATCATGAAAATGCAAAAACTTTGTGTCTTTGAGCTTGGAAATGCGAATGAAGACTTTCTCCTCTCAAGAAGAGCCTCGGTGTGAGATCGAAAGGAATGTCCAATCAAGAAGAGAGATGTTCTTAATGTTCTAGTACCTAATGTTCGCCGCTCAAGCGGAAGATACGGGAACGTTCACGGATGAGGATGCTGAGCAGAAAGCCAGTAAAAAAGGGAATGACTTTCAGTGTCAAGCTTAAATAATTTTTCCCATTTAAATACCTTTGAAATTAGGATTTATTGGATTTATATTTGAACAATTAAACCTGATATAAATGGATGATACGTTTTTTAAATATTAGATACTTCCGCCCACTATTATGACACTGTTCATGTTTGTCACTAATCACATTGTCTGTGTATTACTCCTGCGTTGTCCAGGCGGCCTCTTCCCCAGTGATTCGTATTTGGGGTCACGAAGAGAAAAGCATTACCACAAAGACTACAGAAAACCCAAGGATGAAATTCGAGACCCTATTAGTGAAGCCGAGTTATCGAGAAACAGCGACGCTTTCTCTAGACCTATCTTCTCTAGATATAGACACAGGCAAAACCTGTACGGCACCAGGCTAGGTAAGGCGTATCCTGTTCAAGTACGAGAGGAATGCTGTGATAGTAGGGCTACTGATAACCGAAGCTACACGGAGCGGAGAAAGAAGACCGTGAGGTTCAATTCCGAAGGATGGGACACCATCGAAGATGATTTGGACCCGTCGGCTGTAGAGGACACTCGTTGGTCGAGCGCCTACAACGTCTATTACGACGAGGAACGCTGTCCTCCCGGGCGACCAGGTCCAACTTCCTTGCATCCTAATTACGCGCCTATGAGGGACCATGGCAGCCAACTCTTGCCTTTACCTAGACGAGTGGGTGGCTGGGGTGGACCAAATTCTGGACCCAACAGAGAGCTTCCAATACCTGCCGTGAGAAGGCAGTCTTGGGACGTTGAGAGACAAGAATCCCAAGACTCGCAGACCAAAGATAGCGGCATAGACAGCGGGACCAGCAGCAACTTCAACTCTAGTGAAGATTCTTCTAAAGGGGACTTGCCTCGAACTTGCAGAGTAGGTATTCTTGGTTGTAGGTGGTACCTTACCAAAGTCTGCTGCACTCATGTTAAATTTAATTGCAGGCTTGGTTATAGCTGAGACGCCGTCTCTAGATCAAAGTAGATGCTGATTAATAAGCCACATTAGTTCGTTGTTATTTAAAACGCTTGCCCTCTTCGCCATTCCAATTCTTTGACAGAACATCATCCAGGAATGGTTGTGTTTCCGCCTGATCACTGGTTTGTTATGCTAAAGTTTCAATGTGGATTCTTAAACAGCTTAATGACAGCTGAAAACAATATTCAGGTTACCCTCAACAAATTTAAAAATGCACATTTATCGAAATTTAAAGTAAAAACCTCAGTCGAATTTGATACCTTAAGCTTGATATTCGGTGAGTTAATTAACAGCGTTGAGTTTAAGAAATAATCTTTCCATTCTATTTCCCTATTCTCCTATCTTTTCAAAACATTTACTTATCGACAAATCATGACTTTGATCAGCAGAATTATGTCGAACTTTTCTCCCAGTTATTTCTGTCATCCTATCCCATATTTCTGTCATCCTATCCTATCTCTTATCCTTCCTAGCTTAGCAGCTGAAGCGCTAGTAATCATAGGGTCACTTATCCTTCCTATATTCCAATATTTTCCAATACACTTACATAGCAAGTCATTGGTCCAAATTTTACTCCGTGGAAATATTGCGCCTGTTCTCCCAGGATATTAACGTAGTATGCGATATGTGAGACCTCCACTTCCACCCAGATTCTTCCTAAGTATTGTCCTTCCTCAGCACTGCACGCCGCATGCTAAAAGGCTTCATTTCAGCCATCTATGCTAGCTCGTGCGCATGCAGCAAATGTCATTGTGTACTGTAGATAGACTTATTTTTTAACTTTTTCATTAGTAAACGGTAGTTTACGGCCCTGCAACAGGGGGTTTCCAGTGGATGTTGAAAATTTCATTTGCATGCTTTTTCCACACCTGATATGTGGTAAGTTTCTCATGAGTATCATGAACAGTGGGACTAATGTCCTACCTACGAAGACATACAGGTGATTAGTACAGTTTGAATGTTCGTAATCGAAGATAAATGTTTAGTCCGATTTGCCCTTAAACTGTCATTATCTTTAAGTATTGAGTTGAAGATTGTGTTTTGACGCTCAATGTTTTTTGTGAAGTTTCATCACTGCATGGGAAGTTTTTCTTTTGCATCGTTATGCTTTTAATGTTATAAATACCTCGTTGTATTTGATTTCGTAACTTGTTTAACGGTATTAAATTCGGTTAGTTTGACTTCTACACAGGATTCGGTCTCAGTTATACGCATGTGACAAACCAACAATCGAGTCTAGATAATGAAGAATGTGTTCGATGTTTAAATTTGAATTAAATGTATAATTTCTCTGGTATTATGAACTCGGACGTCTTTTTTTCACAACCTTTGTCAAATAATTCAGTTTTTACTATCCTGGTTCAAAGTAATACAGCACATTTTTTAAAGTGGAATATTCCCTTGTGTGTATCGACAACATTGGAATTTAATTTACATGTCGATGATACGTGTGTTCAATTAGCCTGTGATGCGTAACGATTTGGTGATGCCACTCGCAGCATCCAGTGAGCTGGCAGCCCAGTCAGGACGGATCCAAGATGATCGGTCACATGATATTAAACAAAGCCATGAGACCTGAACACGGTGGCCAGTCGTCCAGCGCCGCCATCCTCGGTCTTAAAGTCGGTGGCGGCAAAATTCTCGACAGCGGCAAAATTGGCGCCGTTGTCGAGAAGGTGAAGAAAGGCAGCATCGCCGACACCGTCGGACATCTGAGGCCAGGTCAGTGGACATCCAGCAGAAATACAAGGAATTCTGGCGAAAATTCACAGAGAGATTTAAAAAAACTATTTGACTTCCCTTCTATGTCAGAGATCAGGAAGGTCTAGTTGAACTGTGATATGTTTTTAAAAGTAGGGCATTGGGCGCTAGATTTTCAGGGCTAGAAAAGTATGGTTTCTTGTTAATAGTTGTTCTTACAAATAAATTCTTTATTTAGTTGTGTGTATCATATGTGTTTACATTACATGTTTTTTTTCTTTAGGTTAATATTTTTTATCATTTCGTTTCACCAGATTTCATTGGCCCTAATTTTGATTAAATAATATTTGATTCGTCAATATATAATCCATCGAGAAAATAATTTTTCTTGTTCGGCAATATTCAATTCGCTAGTGTTTGAATTTTCGGGATTTCATTTGCTAGGAGATCATTTGTCTAGATTTCATTCATGAAGCTTGTATGGTAGACTTGTCACACGTTTACCTATTTCGCCTCGGCTCTCAGGAGACGAAGTGCTCGAGTGGAATGGTCGGGTACTGTCGGGCCTGACGTTCGAAGAAGTGTACGACGTAATCAGCGAGTCCTGCCATGAAGCTCAAGTCGAGCTCATCGTCGCGCGACAACTCACCGACATCGACCGCCATCCTGCTCGGCGACATACGCATGCGGGTCTCATCTCCAGAGGTAACACTCTCATCGTAAACCAATTAAATTATTGACTAATTTGTTGTTACGTCTTCTTTGTCTCTTTTTAAATACTGATATTTGTTTTTTTCATTTTTAAGTTAAGTTAAGTTTTAACCTAATTTTGATTTAAATTTTTTTTAATTGTACTAAATTCACGCCCCTTCATGAATGAATGCTGCTACTGCCGTGTGATGCTACTGCCGAATGCTGCTAGTGCTGAATGCTGCTACTGCCGAATGCTGCTACTGCCGAATGCTGCTACTGCCGAATGCTACTACTGTCGAATGCTTCAGCTAATGAGTGCTACTCTACGAATATGCTCGCTCTGATGTGGTGTTCACATTTTATTCGATTTTTTTTCTTGCAAAGCACGGAAAATATTGCTACGCATCAATCCATTCATGTGCCGTGCAGACGACCACTAGGGTTTATCGGTGTCGACATTACGTCAGCAGATTTTCTCGCTCGGGGAAATCTAAATTAGGTAGACTGATTATTTAGATTTTAAACTTTTAAAATTCTTCACTACCAAACGACATACGGTCTCACAAAGCGGGAAAAATGGTGCATAAATCGACTAAACGCAATTATCAATAATTTCTATGCGAAGGCTAGATAGGAATTTTACTTGAAATTTGGCCTGCAGAGAGTTTTTCTTTAGCCACCCAACTCAAATTAGAGAATTATTTTGATCGCGGGAAAAAAATCATTCATGTGCCCAAAGGAGATGAAATTTACAATGGGTGCGTTGGTTATATTGCAAATATAAATGTTTTTTCTGGGGTTGAATCGTATGAGCGAATCATGTTTTATACCCATTTCAAGATTTTATCATAATAATATCGAAAATCATTCCACGGACATCTGATATCGAATATTATAATTGTTCGGCACCTCAAGGATCATTACCTACCGCAAGCAACGCTGGGTTTGACAGCTGATGCCGTATGACGACACTCACGTACTTTTAATAACTCACAAACTATCGGCCTTCAAATTAGAATCTCTTCTGTATTATGTCACAATAGTAGAACGAATCAGTAGAAATTTAACGAATTTTTAATTTATCATCGAGCTTTTGTTGCTAAGTGTATATTTTGTACAAAGCGTGTATATTTATTTTATATGTATTTTGTAATTCATTAGACTGAGTTAGAATTAATCATAGTATTTTATCTTGTCCTGTGCCAGGTGGTTCACACGACGGAGGCTTTGACCCTCGTAAGTTGTCGGAGCCAGGGCGCGACCGACGGCCCAGCGTAACCATCACGTCACCGGGATCACCGGACAACTACCGCACCAGACTGCACTCGCCCTCTATAGGCGGCAAGCTTCAGGTACGGTAGCCAGGCTGTCGACATTTGTCTTTGGGACTCGTTGGATGGGATGATTTTGCATGGCTTGTCCTTACTTGAGACGAAGATCTTGCTTGCTTTGCTGTGAGAACATTCTGGCCTGGCTTGTACAATACACGATGATGACAAAAGCTTAGTCGACCTGAATAGTAGCAGCAAAGATCTGCATGAATTGTAAACTCAAAGTAAACGAAAGTAAAACGTTTCAACTGCAGACTAAGTTTAAAGTAGGTGTGCGCATGTCATTTGCAAAACTGTTTCTTGATGATTAGATTAGAAACACTTGCAAAATGTAGATTTAATTAATAAATTAATTCACTAAAGATCAAGACCAAATTGTTAAAGTTTAACGAACATTTAAATTTAGCTTGCTCTTGATCGATTGAAGAAATAATATTTTGATACCATATGGACCTTTTACCTAAGAGTTTTTTTAAGAATAGCGAATGACAACGTATATGAGCTTGCGTACATCACAGCTTCTTCGATAATAATACTAATTGTATTCGCCCCTTCCGTCCACAGCTGAAGTTATTTCTGGACTCGCAAGTTCAGCAGCTGATCGTGACGGTTATCAGCGCCTCGGAACTGCCGCTGCGAGCAACGGGCGTGCCACGGAACCCCTACGCTAAGCTCTTCCTGCTGCCCGATAGAAGGTTGGTACCGCAACATCGTTCCACATTGCTGGGAAATATCGGTATTTTATGTTTTCCCGAATAGCACATCGGTATCCGGATTTTGTATAATTAGCTTCTGGAAACCCATATACGCTTATTGAGAAAATAGAGCGAATTCAGATCAACAATCCAAGACAGATACGATGACCAGGTTCCCGTGCAAACTATAAGTTTTTAATATTTAATAAAGCTGAGTTTTACGCTTGATCATCTTTATTTACGCTTTATCTTATTATATATACGATGATATATTACCCAGACGATATTGATCATCTTATTACGCTTGATCTCTTTTATTTCGCTGACAATTATCTTGTTTCATATTTTAAATACGATTATATAATAATCAGATGATATTGATCATCTTATTACCATGATATTATTTCTCACAAGCAATTATCTCGTTTCATATTTAACTGTCAGTGAGAAGTCGAAGCGGCGCACGAAGACGATAGCAGGCACCTGCCAGCCGCGCTGGAACCAAACCTTCGTGTACGCGCCCGTGCGAGTAGCGGAGCTGCGGCAGCGCTCGCTGCAGGTCACCGTCTGGGACTACGACCGCTTCGGCACCAACGACTTCCTCGGGGAGGTAAAAGCGCTACATCTTGGGCGTTAATTTAAATAATAATAATATAATTTATATAATAATTAATACAATTATAATAATTTAATAAAAAAATTCACTCCGTCAGCCATTCACTGATTGCTTTACAAGCTTAACCCATCAATAATAGACAATTAGTCGACCGCCACGTGTACCTAAGTAAGTTTTGATAGTAAGTGCCCAGGGCTTGACTGTGATCGCTTGCCTTGTTCAGCTTTCCCATGAATATACATGGGATTGGTAGCTCCAAAGTGGCGGCTTCGGAAATGATCAATTCAGAAAAAATCTACTTGCAATGTAGCGGTCCTGAAAAAATTTATTTTTGGAAATTATTAAGCTTGAAAAATTGATTTGGTAATATTTATTTTGGAAATTCTGCAATTGACAATTGTCTATTTGAGAAATGCTGAATGAGAATTGATCTATGGATTTTTTACGTTTATGGTTTTTTGGAAACAAGAAAGGGTCTCTTGAAAGGGATGGAGGGTCCATCGGTTTCGGAGTAAAATAATAAGAAGCGTTTTATTATTGTTCATTGCTTTTCTCGCCAATATTTCTCTCATGTTTATTAATTTTCTGCGAATGAAATAAGAGATATCGCATTTGTAGCTGCCAAACAAACTTCGATCTAAAGTAGTTGTTCGAGTCGTTTCAGTAGTTGTTCGAGTTTATTGATATTAGTTTTCTTAACCAAACATATTTGAATTATAGGTCCTGTGTTTCGTTTATACACATTTTTGTACCAGTTGGTGGTACAGTGGCCAATATTTCCATCACCTGCATGCTTAGCGTGGCACGACTTTCGAACACTAGTAGAACGCCGCATTACGCAAAACTGTGTCAGGCACTCATTAGTCTGCGGTATTTACGCCAAAGATTTAAGTTACTCTCTTGCTGCGGACACCGTTTCGTCACCTCTGGTTTTCGGTGACTGTTTCGTCTCTCTCTTCCATGACGTTCCACCAATTGCCATTTACGTTTATTTCCATTTATGAAAATTGCTTGCGAATTTTCTGTTTTAGTACCCGATTGTTTAAAGTCCCATTGATTTTTGACGTTGAGCGAAACAGTCGAAACGACGGGCATTAGAGTAAATAATTTCCCGTTTGCTTTATTCTGCCGCATCAACTTGTACACAAAATAAAAATTAATGAATCCAAATAGGTCGAAAATTTAAAAACAGATGCCTTCAACGTAAGATCAGCAAAAAAAATCATACACAGAGGGATAATATTTCTGGAAATTAAAATGAATGTGATTTCGTTAATTCAAACACAGATGACTGTTGCCTAGCGTTATCTTTCTTTTGTCCTGAGGTATAAACAAATGATGAAGGGAGGAACTAAGTTCACGTGCTCGGAAGGAAACATTCCCGTAACCTGGACGAACAACAAAGTCTTCAGTCGGTCGTGGGTTGTAGTCGGGTAAGGTTGTGCGGAGGTCTCGTGGTTGTGAAGTTATTCGTGCCACTCGGAAGTTAGGACGACACTCCAGTCCAATAAAGGCGTCTATATTTAGCCACCCCCTAAATACTGGTAGTAGAAGTGAGCTAAATATAGCCCTGAAGCTGTTGTGACTTACTGAAATTCAGTGTAAATAAGTGACTTAGTGAATGTTCTGTTGCAATGAGTGGCATTGATCCAAGGTTACTGCACAAGAGAGTGAGAAAGAGAAGAGGGGAGACGGCGAGAAGCTTTGAGGCTGTTCAAGGGGTGCTACCCTTAGCTCCTGTGCACACCTACGCTGGCGCACACACCGTCGTCACGCTCATGCGTTACATGCACCGTGGCCACGCTCGTGCGTTACATGCATGCATCGTGGCCACGCTCGTGCGTTACATGCATGCATCGTGGCCACGCTCATGCATTACATGCATGCGTCGTGGCTACACTCATGCGTTACATGCATGCGTCGTGGCCACGTTCATGCGTTACATGCATGCGTCGTGGCTACGCTCGTGCGTTACATGCATGCGTCGTGGCCACGCTCATGCGTTACATGCATGCATCGTGGCCACGCTCGTGCGTTACATGCATGCGTCGTGGCCACGCTCATGCGTTACAAGCATGTATCGTGGCCACGCTCATGCGTTACATGCATGTATCGTGGCCACGCTCATGCGTTACATGCATGCATCGTAGCCACGCTCGTGCGTTACATAACACGCATCGTTTGCCACGTTCAGGTGTTACGAACATTCGCCATTACTGAACTAGGCACAGTTCGCCTGTTTTATATTGTGTGGAAACGCGTAGTTTCCAAATTAACGTTTATTGTTTAACTCATTCTTCCAAGTTCAGGGCTTTCGTAGTTAGGGATCATCTAATCGTAGTCAACTTTATTTTTTTCCTGTTCTTAAAAGATTAACGTGAGCCTTCAAAAAGTTCTTTAGCGAGACTTCAACTGTCAATTTATTAACTAAAAATTGTAATTATCAATAGTAATATTTTTGCACTACTTCAGTGGAAATGAATACATCTTGGTAGTGCAACTTCACGAAGCAATTTTATCGGCGACTCGGCGTATTTGCTGCTGCCTGATCGCGAGAATCTGTTCATTTATGCTTGGGCAGGTAATTCTGTCATCTCAGTGCGATTTATAGGACATTCTAGTGCTCTACTTATTGTACAAAGTTTTTCTAAATGATGGACCCAAATTAATAAATTCTTATTTATTTAAGTATGATTTTAAAATTAATAATTTAGACACCAATGTAAAGGGAAAGTCCTCAACGATGTTGGACCAAATAATGAAGTAACATGATGTGAACCGTCCTCATGCAACTATTCTGGAGCAAATAATGAACCAACATGATGTGAACCCCAGCAATACTGGAGCAAATAATGAAGCAACATGATGTGAACCGTCCTCAACTATGCTGGAGCAAATAATGAAGCAACATGATGTGAACCCCAGCGATGCTGGACTATGCTGGAGCAAATAATGAAGCAACATGATGTGAACCCCAGCGATGCTGGAGCAAATAATGAAGCAACATGATGTGAACCCCAGCGATGCTGGAGCAAATAATGAAGCAACATGATGTGAACCCCAGCGATGCTGGAGCAAATTATGAACCAACATGATGTGAACAGAACAAAAGATGCTGTCAGCTAGGGATGTCTGTCGCTTGGATGCGCGCGCTGCCTACGTGAACGCCACGGCGGCCGCAACGGTCGCGGTGAAACTTCGCTGTGACTGTCGGTGCTCATAAACCTGAAGAGCGGGCCTAGGAATCTGCTATACCTAAACAAGTTACATCAAAAACTGAACAAAACTACGCAATAAATTATGGTCTTAATTAAATTGAAGGTAAGATGTGAATTCATGTATTACCTTCAAATTACCCCAAAATGGAAAGATTAACAGAAATATAAAAAATAACGTCGTGGTGCGAGTTTTAGAAACTGTTGTGATGCGTACGATAGAAATTTGCAGTTTTACGCTTATGAGCGTAAAATACTCCAGGGATTCTAATGTTCATAACCTTAAAATTACACAGTTAATACCGGTGGTCTAGTCTGAAAACTATTATTTTAATTCATCATGTTGTTGTCTCCTTTTTCTTAACAACATTAATTTCAGTGTCATTGTCTTTTTCAGGTCTGTCTCCTGTTAACGGAATATTTCCAAATTCCTTTTTCTGTGATAATCTTACAAATACCCTATAAGTTTAGCAATGTGTGATATTTTAGTATATGGAACCAATGATGCCAAAGCTGTTCATAGTCAGTACATATATTCATGGACTTAATTCTTTAGGCTGGACATAACTGAGAATTCCGACAACCCTGGCGATTGTGTGACTTTACTGAATTATTCCACTTGAATTTTGTGGCGTTTGTGAAAAAAATACAGTGCTAAATTATGAGAGAACATTTCACATAAAATTTATGCCTTGACCGTAATTATGTGGAGCCACACAGCCATACACGTCTCTTCTAGCCAAAGCAAGATGGCTTTATAGTTCTGGAATTTCTAAAGTTTTTATCCGACGCCTCTCAAGTGCATCCCAATGACCGATCCGGCGGTGGCCGCTGTGGTTGGCAGAGCCTTGCTTAGCTATGGTTGAAAATTGTCGCCGTTCCCACAGTCATGAGTCTCTGTATAATCAACAACAACTACTTCAGCAACGCCAACATTCATCCAGCTTCTCCTCTTTCTCGTCTATGAGAAACAGACCCTTCAGCTCTTCGCTCTGTGATCCGGTCAGCCCGCCACCGCGTTCGCTCAGGGACAACACACATTATGGCGACCTTCCCAGTCCAGGTGTCCAGTACAATCGCGTGCTGCCGTTCGGAGGTACCCACTTTCCTGCTCAACTTGCCCACACTCTGCAGCCTGGACACTTGTCGAGATACCCCCGGAGTAGTACCACAGGAGGTGTTCTCTATAGCTCACCTCTATCGCGGTTTGATAGGTTGCAGAGCTACAAGAAAACGCGTAGCTATGACCCTCTACCACCAATGGCGAGAGAAAGCACTTCTTTACAACCTCATAGAACAATGGACGCAATGCCTGGTGCAGCTCGCTGTCCGACTATGACATCCGCTTATTCCTCGAGTTTATCCCCCAGCAATCGCTTTTATAACGTGACAAGAACTCGATATTACCTCAATAGATACAGATCTCAACGCGCACCACCACACAACAAAAAAACGGTCAGAAATTCTCCACAATGAATGATGTTCGACGAAGAAAATTATGTAACTTACTTTGCTAGATATATTATAATTTTTCTTCGGGGTACCTCAATAATATTTTTACGTAGAATTTTAGATATGTTGCAATCAATCCGAATGAAAAGATATCGTTATCCGTGATTTATCTAGTAGGGTCCGAATCCAGTTATCCAGTATGTTCCAGTGTTTAACTTTCTTCGTTTTGATTAAAATGCAGCTTACTTAAAGCCCAATCAGCTTTTGCCTCGTATTCCCAATTTTGATAATTATCAACATTTTCAAGTAGTCTATGGAGACATTATGTATTTATTATTATTTTTCTCGTTATATCGGCACGTATTGTTGGCACTGGACATGGCTCACCTGGTGTTTGTTGCTCAGGTGTTGGTGGACCTCAACGCCGCGGCGCTGGACGACGAGCCTGAATGGTACAGCCTCGCGCCGCCAGACGACATGCTCACCTCGCACTCGGTACATGCTCCAATATTGTTCAAAATATGGCACATAGGACCAAAATTTTTAATAAAGTCAATGAATAACTTATTTTCTAAATGTAGAATTTTTTTAATGAAGAATAAATTATTGCACGATACTCGGGACACGATACATGTATCGTATTCATATCGTGTGTGCGATACATATATTCGCGTTCATATCGTGTACACGGTACATGTATTCTTATATGAGCAATTTTATTAATTCCTGCCGTTCTGAAATTAAAAAATACCTAAGCAATTTTTCTGACCAAATCCCTGAATCTTTTTTTTTGCACGTGACCAGAGACGCACGATGTGCCTGGACACAGAGTCGGCGTCGACGCTGCCCTCCATCGACCACTTGTCCCCACCGTCCACGGCGTCCCGACTCAGCGAGTCTGACATGAGCGACGCGGACCTCGAGGACTCCCTGCACCAGCGCAAGATGGAGCAGGCCTCCCTCAGCAGCGTCGGCTCCTCCAGCAGGTATGGCCCGCAACCTCGTCATTTTGCGCTCAAATGTCAACAGCCAAATGTGTTTGTTCAAATTTACATATATTGCGCGCAATAGAATAGTTTAAGCGGAAATTCCCTAAGCTAAAACATCTTAAGACTCAACAGTAATAAAAATATTATGGGAGTTGTTATTTTGTGTTTTTAATTGTTGTTATTTTACTAGTTAGTTATTATTTTATCGTCAGCTTTGAGAATAATTCGTAACTTTTCAAACAGAATAACTAAAATGCTTCAATTATCATGCTTAACTTGCTTGCAAAGTGAATTCATAAACGTGGACATCAGTGCTAATCTCGTCTCATCTTTGATTCTCCTACCCTTGACTCCCCAGTCCGCCCCCAGACGACCACAGAGGTTTTGGTTCATACGAACACAGATCGAGGAGAGAGGACCCACGGTTTCGTTCCCCAGGACACATGATGGGTTTTGGGGGAAGTTTGGGTGCAAGCGTAGGGCCTCCATACAAGGATTACATCCCCGCACCAATCCCAATGTCAGCGAGAGGCAGAAGCCAGTCAGCAGCTCCTACTGACTCACCATCGCTGCACGTGTCGAGGTCAAGATCTAAATCACCGAGACGTATACCTGACGTGGCGTCTCGGTCTTTGTCGCCACCCGAAGCGAGGTATTAAAGTGGCTTTCACGAATTTCCTTCTGTTTGCCTTCTTACAATTCTGTCCTCTCACTGGAATATATTTTATAACTTTTCTAACTCGAGTTTTGAATTGCTGAGTTGAAATTTTGCACCCCACACTCAAACAAAAATTTGTCTTGATATTCAAACATTTATTTCTACGTGTGAATCAAAAGTGTCAGTGGTTTCTGTACTGATCATGTGGGCACATTCCTCTTATTAAAAATGGAAAACTTCAGTTCTTACCTCACCTTCGTAAATTGTGCTCTAACTCCCGTCCCCTGTTCCCATCATATTCATGCATGCGACTGCTACTGTTTGGGACGACGCCAAGCATGCTGGCGAAAAATATTCTTATTTCAGTGTACACTTTAAAATCGTGTCATCATAATATTTCTCTCTCAGGATAATTCACTAGAGCTCCAGTGGCACGGTTTTCCAAATGTAATAAATAATAGTCGAGGGTAAAATAATTCATCAAAGAGAGACCAAACACATCCCTGAGACCAAACGGTGATAAAAGGTCATGTTGGTGGTTATGGGTTCTCCTGGAAGTGATGAATGCGGTGTTGGGCGTCCTTTCCTGGATAATACCATAAAATTGTAAGCAACAAATCGGAACTAAAGCTCAATAACTTTGCAGAATCTTTATTATTTCAAAGCTTATTTACGGGTTCAACTTTCCATAAATACATTGCCGCATCATTGCTTTCTCGATAAAATTTGCTTTAATTATCCGGAGGGAATGAGCTTCACGAATAATATTTGTTTGCGTGATTCGTTATTTTGTTTATCATGTCTACTACTTATTAGCAACAAAGTGGACTGCTAATGTATACCTTTAAAAGAAGGTAGACCCAACTTTCGAGAAGTTATTCAACATTCAGTATCTATAGGGAATAATTTCCCTCACTAAGAATGGAAAGAATCAAGGTTTCGCATGCGTGATCAAGCTCTCTCTCTTTGGAAACTTTTCATGCAGTGTTGTTAAAATTGTCTAGCATTTGTGTCTCGCACGTCAATATGTTAATCCATATCCATTTCTTGAATTTATATATTTAAGAAACAAATTAATGGTCCTATATAATCATAATTCATACAATGCAATTGAAAAGGACTCCTCTTTTATCTTCATGAATCTGAGTTACGCGCGGTTCATTAGTGTCGTCCCTGGGCTTATCTTTACAGTGAATAGCGCCATCTTTTCTAGCGTGCCACTTGCCCGCAAGCCGGGCTCCAATTTCTGAGTCTTAGTCGCTGCATTTTCGAGGAATTTGTTATCTTTAGTTTCGCTCATCCCAGCACCTTTGGCAGGCCAGAATATGGGGGAATGGGGGGCGGTCGGCCCCTAATGACGTCACGGAGCGAGACCGCGACCCCTACCAGCTCCCCCAAGAAGCGTCAGCTGCCTCAGATCCCAGCTGCCTTGCAACACGCCAACCGCGACAAAATAACGCAGGTGCCTTGAACCTATAAAGTCAAGCCAGAATTATGAGAAGTTTTTAAATACATTTTCTGTTAGTTAATGATATCAATTATTTTGTTTTGACTTAGATGAATTATCCAGGTCAGGGTCAGGGTTACATTCTTTTTACAATTCTTGTTACAAACATGTACGTGAAGAAAAATCTACATGACTAGAGCTCGCTACTGTGTATGTCAAAATATTTCTACTGCACATGTTCAAACCTTCAAATATCAAGAGCTTGCAACTTCGCGTGTCAAAAGCTTGCAATTGTACCTGTCATGTGCTTGCTACTGCACATATCAATAGCTTACAACTGTACATATGTAGAGCTTGCAACAATAATTTCCAAGAACTAGCTTGTGCTATGTTATAATTCTAATGCCGTGATTTTCGCTGAACATTTCAGCTTGAAATAGCTTAACGAGGCTAATATCTTTAAATTCACTTAAGATTATAGCGGAATGACATTCAATAAAAACGACAGCGAACTCATGCTTCGTTCTCCTAGAGTACTATCAGTCGACAGCGTTCCATGTCTTTAGTTCAATTCCAAATAAGTGAGGTGATAATGAAATGCTTGAATTTTGCCGACCCATGCCTCATTTTCCCTCTCTACTATCCTCTGGCAAGCAGAGGAACAGAGATTCGCAGGTAAACAAAGTTCAAAGTTTGCATTGTCGACGTTTGTCTCGTGGCTTGAGTAGCGGCTGAATTGCTTGTACCATCCCTGCTATTTTAGAGTGACGCAAAGTTACAGCTCGAAAAAAAAACATTTTTCCCCTTCCTAAGTACCCGATTTGGAAAATCCCAGCTAAACCTACAAGCCTGGCAAAGGATAGATGCAATATTTTATCGTCCAGTTTAGGAATTTCCCCTGCTAGCTTTCTTAGTGTTTCAACTCGTCCTGACGACAGTGAGCGCAACCACAGTTGTGGTCCATCACTGTAATGGAGGAAATTATTATGGTGGTCCATCACTATAATGGACAAAACCATTGTTGTTGTGGATCACTTTAATGGGCGAAATCATTATTGCAGTCTATAGGACAATATAAGAAGTGCAAAGAATTGTAATGGGCTAAAATAACGGAAATTAAATCTTCTTTGGCAATAATAGATGCTTAGAGAAAAATAAGTTTTCCGATCATATGTCATCATTTACCAGCATTAAAATATACATTAAATCAACTTTAAGAATTGAACGTTTTCCGCTTATAAACATTGCAAATAAGTGAGAATATTGTGATCAAAATTTATTTCCATACCTAACCTAAAGTTTCGTTGCAGATTGGCATAGTTACTCTCTAATTTCCGGCCTAATAAAGTGTTAGCTAATCGTGCTTCCATGTCCCGCTTATATTGCTTTATGATTTGAGCAGCTACTAATATTTCAATTGTTGTGACGGTTTGTTCTTGAGTCTTTTGGAGTTCTTGTCCAATGCTCATGCTAATAAATTCGCTAAATTGTTAACGTTTTGGTTAGACGCGACGTTCAGAGCCACCAAATTCTTGCCATGATGAGGCAAAAATTGATCACGTTAAACTAAACTGAGAACATTAGTCAATAAATGATTTGTATGTCAAAAGATTACGAGTATTCTATTATTTGAGGGATATTTCACTTATTAACAACAAAAAACATTTGTTAGAAAACTATGCAATTTTAATTTTGAGCAAAAGGCTCTATAAATGTTTAATATACTGAATGTCTCAGAATAAGACGTTTGTCGCTTGAAAAACTGGGACCGGACTTTTAAGATGAAAGTCATAAATAGAACAATTAAAGAAAAAATGTCCAATGAATTTGATATCATGGGGCCTCCAGGTTCAAATCGTGTTCTAAAATGCAGGCTATTAAATTTATGAAAATGCACGCACTATAGTGTTTTTTCTAATATTAAGCTTTGTTGCATTTCATACTTTTAATTTAGTGCACATTGAATAAATAAATTGGGTTATTTACAATTTTGGAACATAACAAATCGAGTGCAAACAGAGCAGATCGTCGGCAGATCGTGGGTCTTTTCAATCCCAATATTTATGTTTGGAGCTCTAGCTAATAATTTTTCAATCATGTAGGTTTTGACAATTCATTTTAGTTTTTACAAGATTTTAATTGTAGAACCATCCAATTTCAACGTTAAATGACTCTTTGCTTGTTACGGTTGCAATTAATTATGGTTATATTTAAATGCTTTTTGTAACCATATTCGATAATTTAAACATATTGGCTTACTAATATTGCCGTTATAGGACCTCGAGGAGCGCGCACGACACATGAAGCTGCGTCTGCGCCAGATGCAGCCGCAGGGACACTCGCGCTCTGCGCTCAACAGCGGCTACAGCGACTCTGAAATCGGAGCTCGCCGCTACGACAGGTAAACATTACATTCTTTTTCGTCTATTTCACTGATATTTCTACATTTTTGTAGTTGAATGGATTCTTTAAATAACATTTTAATTTTAATTGGTTGCTGGGTGCAATTTACTTCAGGGAAAATATAACGTCGACCTCGTCACACATGTAGTTTAATATACGTAGCGTCAGATAGTGTTAGAAGTCTGTGGTATCGAACTTATACTGATGGGTTCAGTTGCGGTCGTGCAGTCGACTAGTTTGACGTGAGATAACTGCGGAGCAGATCTATCAACTGCATGATTGTCTGAAGTATCAGCCACCGTCTGAAGTATCACGCGGATCATCAACAGTCGTCAAAAGTCGACGGTCAAGCGATGTTAATAGTTTTCACGCTGATTTATATCGCTATACATTAAAGCAATTGTTCTCTATCACTGTCCGTACCTAGTAACAATCGGCCAGTCTAACAGGAATTTGATAGATTATTATATGGAATTTTCGTGCATCTCTCTTGCTTGAAACTCTCCAGTGAAAGTATTGGCCCGAGTGATTCCGAATATTTTCCAATGAGATTCCGAGTTTTTTCTCAAATAAACCTCTTGCCTCTGTTTTAATCCTATTTCCATCGCTGTGCATCATCCATCACTTCCTTTTTCGTGGATGCCTATTGCGTAGCTTGGATTTATCATTTTTTTTTTTTTGCATACCATTATTAACTACTTTTTCTTGCCAAACCTCCAACTCGTGCGAAACCTTGCCACTTCTTTTGTTTACTGTCCGTTGGCGCCACAGATCGTCTCAGGCCCAAGTCTTGACGACTCTTGGCTGAACCTTGGCAACTGTTTGCAGGTATACGAGAGGTGCCTCGAGAGGAGCTTTAGCTTCCCCAGAGCGTGACCCGTTGGAGCGAGACCTTGGCGATTCTGCTAGTGATATAGAGAGCGTCGTGAGCGGCGCCAGCACCTTCTCTACTCAGAGCGAACGACCCAGAGGATCCGTTAAACACAGGTGCTTGTCTTGTCTCGTACTAAATAAATAAACTCTTTGCTAACTTTTTCTACACTTTCTCTAAAATCTTGATATAACTGTGTCCCAATTCTGGTGGGCTGCCCAGTGCCTAAATCATTCGACGATTCGCCTCTGTGTAGTCAAGGTATTTCACCTGCCCATGGGAGAAGCCTGCTGACGGGAGCCGAAAAATTCTTTTGTCAATGCAAGCAATACGTGTGCGTTCTGGAAATATCTATTTCTGATGGTCAAATGTATCCATTTGGGCGGTAATAACGAATGTGTTGACAAAAAATTAATTCTCCTGAACTTTTATTTCTTTCTGTTAGCTAAATTCCCAGCACATAAAATGTGAAATGATCCAAATGTTTCATCTCAATCTGTCTCCAGTCAGCTGGCACTCCCAGCGCCTTTTCCACGGGAAAGAATTACGTGGACCTGAGTTAGCAAAAACCTGAGTGTTCCTAACCTAATGATGACAGATTAATCGTAACCTGTAATATGGTTTTATGTTCCATGTAACTTCACCTAAAAATGATCATTTTATATCATGCATTCTAAATATGTCAACAACAAAGTTAAAGTAGGCTTAAGTTAGGTTCCCTGTCATTTGCTCTCGTACAGCCCTCGACAAGTGTTCAATCTCTTTATATTTATTTACACTTCTTACATCTTCATCCATTTTACGTTGGTGTTTTAGCTTCTCACACCACGTCTGTTTATTGCTCAAATCCCCTTTCTGCGTTTCTAGATTTATCAAGTTGCTGTTATATTAATATCCATGACATTCCTCAGAACATGAGTTCCAAAATACGCTTTACGTTATTCGCTTATAGCGCTAATACTTTGCTTGGCAAATGATGAAATTCAATAATTGGAAGAACGGCTGCTCTTGAGTTCATGAGAGGCCATGCCAGCAATGGCTCCTCTGTAATTGATTATTTACATACTCAATTAGACACTATAGAAGATTTTTAACGATGACAAGAAATTTTTTCTGCTTTTCGAGACGCGATCTACTTTGTCAGACCTTGATTTTTATTTGAAAATATTTCTTCTGATGACAAGATTAGTGTCAACTCACATATAATACGAGAGCGTTCAGTGACGCCACTACACATGACAGAGGACAGAGTAACAAAGCGTTCAGTAACACCACTGCACATGACAGAGTAACAGAGCGTTCAGTAACACCACTGCACATGACAGAGTAACAGAGCGTTCAGTAACACCACTACACATGACAGAGTAACAGAGAGTTCAGTAACACCACCACACATGACAGAGTAACAGAGCGTTCAGTAACGCCACTACACATGACAGAGTAACAGAGAGTTCAGTAACGCCACTACACATGACAGAGGAACAGACCACTACACATGACAGAGTAACAGAGCGTTCAGTAACGCCACTACACATGACAGAGTAATAGAGCGTTCAGTGACACCACTACACATGACAGGGTAACAGAGCGTTCAGTAATGTGCCTCTTTGTTAAGCGCTAAGCTCCTCTCCAGCTAACTTTAGGATTCCAAAAGGTGATTTGAATAAATAGGTTCAAGCATACATGCCCTTTGTTAATTGAATGCTGGTGTATTTTCTAGTTGAAAGATGTCCAACGCACGCTGAAAAGTTTATTATGTCCCCAAAAATAACGAGTATATTTAGCCCTGTATCATGTTTGCATTGACATCCATTTTTCCGTGCTTAATAACCATAATATTTCTCTGGACAATTTAATACCTTTTATTTGCTCTTATGGGACTCTAAAAATGTAAGAAATAGAAATTGTTGGTGTGTGCACTCCCTATTTCTTTTCGCTTCACTTGCATCACTTTTACCGCCTCGTTTCCCCTGGTATAGTTCAGTTCACTTCGGCTAAGTGGGATCCAATTGATACATTTCGAAGAAGGGAGAATTGGATGCTCGTTTCTACAAACGCATTCTCTATTGTTAGAGAGACATTGTACAATTTTAATAATTCTTATAGAAAGGGGAATTGAAACCCAGTTTAATATTGTGTGCTGTACATAAATGTTAGAGTTATTCTTCCTCCCTCGAATGAATTCCACTGCCCGATGACTCCACCCCTGCATTGTGCATCACTTGGTTCACGTTGCTTGCTCGATCATCGAAATAATCGTTCAGACTTTTCCCTGACGCTCATTTCGCACGTTAATTTATGCTCAGAATTTTACAATGTAGATGAAAACCGCACATTCAATTTCCAGACAATCATTGTTCATTGCGCAAATCATCTATTACTGTTTCTTTCATTAATATTTCTATCTTTCAGCACCTTCAAAGTTTAACTCCTAAGTCGTCTTCCTACATTTATGTCCTCCACCTCCCTGGAATGGCCAGAGTTTCAACTCATCAAGTGTTTTTTTATTATTCGATATGAGGCTCTGTGACTGTGCATGCTAAGTCATATCATAGACTTTCTATGCTCCAGCGTTGATGATTTCATGAACTCGACTTTGTTTCAAAAGCGCCGAATCTTTTATTTTGAATTTAGTGAAAGCTTTTTATTTAAAAGGAGTTCCATGCTGGGAGTTAAGTCCGTTAGGGACTAAACTTCTGCTCCGATTAATATTTCGGGGTGCAACCATTAGGTTGTCTCAATATTTATTTCATGCAAGAAATAACTCCAGTTTTGTGACTTACGGATTACTTCGAGTATAATTCGGGGCGAAGAAGGGATGTGGTTGATTGGTCATGAAGGAAACTTAAGTTGATGCAATTCTTGGGTTCTATTCTTTGATTTTACGCAACTAATCAGCATCTCATCATTTTTGTTATTTCACGCAACGATATTTTTAAGTGATTTACTTAATTTTTCTGGTCATTGGTACCCCACAGGAGTGTTAAATATATTTTTGTAGACGTTTTTAGTAGTTTAAAATGTTAGTATGAGATTCATCACTGGGAAAACTAATTAATTTTTCTTCTCTTTTCTTTCCCCTTCTTATTGTTTTGCGTTGTATTTTTGTTTATTTATTTTATTGGCTGGTTTTTACCTTCTTTCCTGGCTCTGATCCATTTACCGTTGACTCTCTACCTTTTTGGTACTTGCATAACTAATTGAAATTCTTTGAACGTATTGGAAGCAGCAGTAGACAGCACTTCTCCTCTAGTCTCACTTGTGCTCCTAGTATCTTTCCCACCGACTCTAGTTACTCGCATCCCGACTGGTATGCTGCTGATGTTTCTGGTGTTGTGCGCGACCAACTTCCCTTGCCTGAAGTACGACTCTGGCCAAGAGAAACAACAGATCAAAATCCTTTTCATTCTTCCTCTTCTAATGATAGAGATAAAAAATCTCGTTTTGTTCCAACATTTAATGCTGCTGACTTTTCAACATCCGAATCTTCTCCGCCGTTCAGTATAGAAGATAATCAGTATCTTAGAAGGAGGTTTCAGAGTAGAAGCAACCCTGCTATTGGGTCTTTCCAGTCGAGAAATTTGCCGCCTTTGCAACGCAGTAACACCGTAAGATCATTTTTTCCACCTTCGCCCGTGAAAGTCAAGTTACTCAAGAGTCGTAGTATTGGCGATGAATTTAACGTTCTCAGTAGTAATGGATCAGATGAAATTTTCATCGACTGTAGATTTAATGATGCAATGAGATCAAAATCTTCCGGAGATTTGCATCGCTACTATTCTAAAAAGGTTCCTTCACACGGTTATAATAGTAGAGGATGTAGCGCGTCTGCTCATAGTCCACCCCAAGTGCCTTTTAGAAATAGTGATAGTGGCGTAGAACGTAGGTGGCGTGATGAAGCACGACAGTACGTCGACCGGCGACCACGTAGAAGGGATGCGCCGCCTCGACATGCTCTTCCAGCTCGACAACGACCATGCAGGGATGCCGGGCACGACGCGGGGACTTACTACGGATACGACTCCGAGTACAGCGGTGCAGAGACGGAAGTTTTCTTATCCGATCGATCCTTTGATCGATCATTTAGTCAAGAGAATGACTCAGATCCGTATAATTCTGGATCTCAGTGCGACTGCATGTATGCAATGGATGAGTGTCCTCAAATCGTCAACCAAACTCCTTCATCCTTACCCATAATTGAACGTATAAGTCCTGATTGGCCTCCTAGAAAACCTCTCCTCCAACCCAGGAAACTGGTGCGTGCCAAGACCGAAGGGTCACTAATAGACTACGCAAGAAAAGACCAACGGCTAAGACAAGAAACTCCAGGAAAAGTAGATTATTCTAATACTTTACCTCGCACGGAGTCCTCTTCTAAAAAGAAGAAGCAAGTCAACTTCCCGTTTCCATCACCAACTCCCAAAGTAAAAGGAAATCAGCATATCGGCCAGAATTCTGAGCTAGATTCCACGAAAATGAGATCAGATTACAACAGACGAAACCACCCCCATTCCCAACAATATCTAATCAATGCAACATCTAAAGGCGCTCACGCTGATCAGTCCTCTTTTTGTTCTGACTGTACCACTCCCTTTCCTGACGAAATCATTCATTCACGCTTCGACTCGTGTTACGATAAAAGTGGAATTGACAATGATCGATACGGACCTAGTTTCCATAGTTATGATTCTTCTGATGCTACCTGCAGCAGTTGTGAAGAGAGACGGTCCAAAGAGCGTTACTTGTTAAAGCACGATAATTGTCCCATTCATTGTGGCGAGCTTTCGTCATATCGTGAACGTGACACAGACTCTATTGCTTCACCCATGCACAGCTTGAACCTCTCTTATAATACCTCTGCATGTCCTTCAGTCAAACGCCAAACTATTTACACCGCAGATTGCTTCAGTCATTCTACCGACCGAGCCTATCGAGAGCCTATTCCACCCAAGCCAGATAGCTCACATGAGTGCTTTAGCGTACCTTTTCAGCTACACGTAAATACCCGGGTTCGGCCTAGCTCGTCAGTCAGTATCAATGAACAGCCTCAGTATTTTGAATTTGATGCTAACAGTCCGCCAACTAAAGAGTATCGCGTCATTGCTGATGTAGCCCCTTCTTCTGACCCTGCTAGTGAATTAAGCGATCGGATGAGCGGTTATGGAGCCCCAGGAGGGGCTTTTGGGGGATCAGGAAAGCGGGGTACCTTCGCAAGAAGTCTTTCCACCAGCGAAGTTCCTGAAACTGAGAAAGCAGGTGGGTCTAGCACCTGCGAATGATGTCATTTCACCTGCACTGCTTCGTGTGCCTTCCCCTGTAGCTGTCATGTATCTAATTACTTTCACCGCCTGCCTTCTTCGCTGTTTTCCTGTCTTGCAACTTTACCATCGCAAACAACAAGACTACAGTTCTTGTTGCTGCCACTAATTTAAATCCTGCAACCCTCGTTCTTTCCGTCTGGACTGACTAAACCTCATGAAAAGCATTTGAATTTCTTCCTCTTACCTGACCTCGCCTAAACTTGTCCTACTTGTCCACTCTAAATTCGCTTCTTCTGGTCACTCCATACTTTAAAACGTTAATTTCTAAGAAATTACGTTTACCAAGTAACCCTTGCTACCTGAATGATACTATTATCTAAATGCGTAAGATTATACTATAAGGAAACTTTTAGTGAGATCATGAGAGAGTTTGGTTGCCTGCTTAGTAACAAACGGTTTCTACATTACAAGCATTGGTATGGCTCTGTTCAGCTGCATAAAAGAAGTCACTTATGAAATGTTCATTACTGCACGTAACATCCTCAAACAACGATGTTCTTTCCAAATGAATGAAATTTATGTGAAGACATATAACTACCAACTTTTGTGCATTCAAATCAAGTATTCATTTCAATTTGGCAGGCTGATCATTGCTAAAACCAAGCCTGTTCGGTAGAAGACCTTGAATAGCATGTTTTTAGAGTGTAAATATACCTCAAGAGCTACACTGCACGGTAGCCCAGTGCTGTCTGCTCAGCTGTCGGAAAAATTCTAAGGATCTGTTTTTCGGTTTAGTATCTTTCATTTAATTCTATTTTCTTTTCCTTTCGCTTTTTATTTTTGGCTCGGTCTGCAAATACAACGGACGCCTCGGATATCATCAGCAGCTAAGAAGGGAGTTCGCTCAGAGGCTAAGCCAACGAGTCCCTTGGCCGGTGCGGCGCTCGGCATTCCCACTGCATTACCTCTCAGTCCTTCCTCGTCCACTACCAAAGTTGTTAGTTCCTCCTCGGCCGCTGTTTCGAGTCCATCAAATAACGGGATGAAAAAACTGGAATTTCATGTTAATTTGGGTGACACGCCAAGTACAGAAGGGGCAAAACCTGACCCGGATGGACAGCTTGCATCTACTCCATCCAATTCATCTTCACCGCGGCTTCCGCTGTTCGACAGCGCAGATACCCAAATATTAGAGCTGCCCGAAAGTTCTAAAAGCCGAGGGCAAGAAAGAGGCAAATCACATACCAGTGGCTCAACAACACTGAGAACTGGTGTAGCGGGAGTCCCAGCTACAGAAGCTTGTTCCTCTCTGCCTGAACAAGAAGAAGAATCTGAAAAGGGAACTTCGTCGACATCGTCAGAGCGGGAACTTGGAGCTACAAAGCAATCTGAGTTACATGACAATGTCGGTAAGGCTATTCTCTGTTGGTCTTCCACTTCTTTCCCTAAGGCTCGTGAACTCGGTAAGCTTTTCAGCTGTATCTCTGCCTGCCGACGACATCAGTATGCTTCTATAACTGAATTAAGTAGCACATGTAAATAATTGCGCATAGCAATAGGCGAGATGTATTCGCTGATTGTATGACTGTCTCTGTTCTCTCAACGCTTGGTCAAGATACCTAATGGAGACTTTCCAGCTAATAATTTAACATTATTTTATGTAAATAACTAAATCGGGTTTTTAGATACCACTGAATATGAGAAGAAATACTAGGTCGACTTCGTAGATTTCGCTATTCGGTGCTGCTCCACAATTTTGTGCAGCTCAGAACATGTCCTTGTTAGAGCCTTGTAATGATTCATAGAATAGGTTCGATTCTTTTGTGTGTAATCAGTTATTGACAATCAGTTTATTGACACACCTGAGACACTACTTTGATCACGAGAGATCATTGTCAAGTACTTCTGTTCCTGAACTGTCCTTTGTTGACCCAATATTTTGTTCTCTTGTTTGAGTTCTATATTTTGTTGCGCTAGATTTGATACAGGTTGGGCCTTTACATTTGGGGCACCATCGTAAGTATTGCTCGAGTATCCGCGTGCGCTTTCTGCCAGCATGTACTGTAGTGTATACTCCTTTTAAGTTCAGCTTTTATGCAGCCAAAGTTATATTTTACTATAAGATCGATTCCACTATTCTGGCTCTAACAAGGGTACTAAACAATGTTTGATTTTTCATCAACTACATTGATGCATTCAGTCAGTCGAAGTACTCACCCCCTGAAATGTAGAACATGTCTAAATTAGAAATAGACCCCTGACACAAATGTTGCCGCATTGATGCGAATTACACGATCTTATACCAATCTAATTTTTAGGTTAGGAATTTATCACCGCAGAAATTCAGTTTTACACTTGTCTCGCGCTAACCGAAGAGATATGATAACTTTAATGTAATTTTTTGTTTTACGTTAAGCATGCATTTTTAAATTCTAGAATCCCGTCGTTCGTTAGCTCATATTTGCTTCTTATTGCTAGATTTTGAGGTCTTTGCATGGCTTTTGTGTGTTAGACTCGTTCATGCCACAGAATATTTCGTAGAGTTTTTTTTTTGTATTCATTGTATAAACATGAATGGCTTGCTTTGATTTGCATGAAATAATTAGTTTATTATTTTAATTTGTTATTTTTTTCTTACGCTCTGATTTTTTGTGAATATTCGAAGCATGTCTTCCCTGTCCTCGTGCTTGTAATTGAATGTTTATTAATAAATATTATTATGCTGCTTGATTGTTTTATTTTATATTTCTGTGTGGTTTTTTCGAATGGATTTTTTTACGGTGTTGTTGAATACAGGTATCATTGAATATATTTTTAGCAAAATTAAAACCTGATTCTCAAAATATGCTTCAACGAAATTTATACATAGAAATTTTCTCCATGGCGCGTGCAATGTCCGATACTCAGATCAACGCGATTCTCTTTTTTATGGGTAAATAGTTCGTATTGAATCTTTTATTGCTGTTGTGTAACTTCTCAAAAAATTTTACCTGAAATTGCTTTTCATTGTTTTCAATTCTTGATTCACTGAGATTCCGATGGGCTACTAAAGGTGCTACGTTTCATGGATAAAATTACAGCGGTAATTAATTTTATTTGAAAGATGATCAACATTTGTCTTGTAATTCAGAGTTTCTTCGCGTTTAAGTACAGAATAGTTATCAATGAGCTAACTTGATGTTATCTTCAGACGACAATAATGCCATTCCAGAAGCGTTAATCGTTAATTTTTGCTTCATAGCAAAAATGTTGGATTGCTGAATTATTATATTACCATTCAATTAAGTACGATAATTTTGTTAGTATGTTAGCTCGATTTCATAATGCCAACAATTGAAGATATCGTAAGTTAACACAGTGAACAGAATCATGTACCTCATTTCTCTTTAGCTCGGGAATCAATGTTCACGAAGTTATCTCTTGGAAGCTTTCGACGTTCAAACTTAGAAGCTTTGCAATTTAACTCTGTGTGTGATCTCGTAACCCGACCGCCACTCCCGCCACAGACGGAAGCCTAAGTGACAGCGCCGCAGGTTCCTTCACTCTGGACCCCAAAGAGCGAACTCGTCTCGCCACAGGCGACAGTTTTGCCGCAAGCACTCCGGGTGGAGGCTCTTCGCCTGGCAAGTCCGACTCCAGCATTGCAGGTCTGGCTAAGAAATCGTCATCCACATCGAAGCTTTCTGATACCGGTGGGTAACAACGATTAATGTCAAGCATTCATTTGCTTGTGTTTGTTTGCAAGTTCATATTCATTGAGTAATCTATGTATGGGAGCCCGACAAGATCTTATTCATTGTCCAGCAATTCGTATAGTTGTTTTACAAAATCTTACTAAATTTTGGATGAGATTTCGGAAAGTTTGTTGGCTCTAGCAGTTGTAAAATAGATCTCAATTGACTGTATTTAAAGCAACTTCGTCATTCGTTCAAATTGCAATGAATTTAAGGGTTAAAAGCCATGAATTTCGAACATTTACGACTAAGTCATCGTATTAACTTCAGGCCAGCTTAATAATTAGTTAACTTTATTTCTCTCCATTCATAAATTTTTATAATTTTGCGCGACTTGAAGGATAGAACTTTTATTTCAAAAATTATGCTTCATTCATATTCATTCCTGCCTCCTGCATACCTCCCATGTGAGCGACAAAATGCGAAATTTTGATTCCGCCCTCCGTGCTTCACCCATTTTGTTTTTAGCTTTAGTTCGGTATCATCAAATTTGTGTCAGATTAATGAACTATAGTCAATATGATTGTATTTTGCCATTATTTTTTTGTGTGCACCTGAACATTTCTGCCCTCAATGCACTATTATTAATAAGATAGTCGATAACCAAGTTGTGCCGTACGCTTTCAGATGGCCATTTAATGTCAATTAATGTGATAATGTTTCATTATAAGGTTATTGAAGAAACTAGAAGCTGTTGCCAATCCTAGATTGTATCTTCAACTGAAATTAGGAATTATAATTCATTTTACATGTTAACAAAGCTCATTGCAATATAGACTGCATTACATGGGTTTATTTTCGTTACAGGTCATAAGACCTCGTACGAAAATAAGCTAAATAGTATCGTTAAATTTCTTGTTTAAATACATTGTCGTTTTCTATAATATCGTTAAATGTATAACCTGAATTCACAAGAAATGCTACAAATATTTTCAAAAAAGATAGTTACATCAACGAAATGCGAAGCATGTAGATGTTATCTAGACTGGTGTGTAACGTGTTATTTCTTACCGCCCTTCCGCCACTCCATGGATTCATGTAACTAGATACGTCCTATAGTCAGAGCTCTCTGTATCTGCTCATTATGTATAATATCTATTTGTCGTACAATGGAAAGCTTAATTAATCGTCTTGATCGGCACTAGTTTCTAGCAAATACTCTGATCTTAAAAGAAAGTTTGTTAGCGCTGCTCTCCTAGATCTGCTTCATTTTCCGTGTCGCTATCACTTTCCCCCAAAGTGTAAAGACCGGATAAGTGGATTCTATGATCACGAAATTTTTCCACTCCGCAAGAATTGGAACATTATTAAATGTATTGATAAGATTCATTGTGATATTTGTTACGGAAATTCTAACGTCAAAGTTTTTTGTAAGAAACTTCCCTGGAAAACTCGAAGAATTTTTTCTATCGAGCAGCGAAGAATTACTTATTTGCAATTGGACTCCAATATTTTTCCACAGTTTTTTCTCTATTAAAAATTAATATGATATAAATGCGAAATTCCATGTTCCCTAAAAGTAAAACTGTTTCTTTTTTCAAAAGGAAATAAGCGATACATTTCTAAACGCACCGCGAATATTTAGAAATTTCAAATTTTCACAAGTGACTCCACGTCCGGTTTTTACACTGCTCTATCATCTTCTTGTTTCATCTTTTTTTTATAACTTGCTAATTATAACTTTTTTAATTGTTATTTTTCTGTTTTCAATAATTGGGTTTATAAAAATATTCTTTTTCGAATTTATCGTCAATACAAAGCCAGGCTCAATCAAAAGTATTTATTGTTTCAAGAAAATTTCACTGGCGGTCTTAAGAAATAGAATCGGTCTATATTAGGATGACCGAAACTGTTGTTTATTATTGTCCACTTTCGCCGCATCTGGCCGTACTAGCCCAAATTCAATAATTAGCCACTGAGCGAATTAGTTGTACGTAAATTATTATTACTCGTAATGAATTGCAATGCAGTAGTCCTTTATCTTGAAGTTATTTTCATACACTACATACTGTACATGGAATTATTTCATCTCACGAGCTTCTGCTAGGCTACCTTGATACAACTGTATTTTCCTTGCCAAAGTATGTATGGATTTTTCAACATATTGTGTCACATCATTCAGCAGCTTTTTGGACACAATGTCATGCACAAGAGATGTATATAGCCAATTTTATACATTAGGTTTCAGGAATTTAACCCTATAGCTACTAATTTTAATAGTGTCAAACACTATATTGCATTCTGGTCATTTGCTTGTACCTAATCAAAGCGCAGCCTAAAATAAAAGGGGATTCATTTGTCCGATTGAACGAATGAGAGCACAAACAAAAAAGCACTCTTGTCGAACAGGAAGAATCTAGCGTTCAAGCAGACCATTCGTCTTAAAATGTGTGATTGGACAATATCCAACGTCAGTGAATAAAAAAAAATCAGAAATCACGTTTATGCCATAGATTTAGATTAGCATTATCACAAACAAAATTATCAAACTCAATGTTTAATGTCCAACCTCGACAAATAATTTATTTGAGATGATAATATAGCCGTCAAATTTATCCTCTTATCTTCTAAAAAAATGTTCATTGTTTTAGTTTCATTCCTTTTTGTTTTCAGAAAAATAATTAATCTCTCATCAAGCATGACTGCATCACACTTTCATGACTGTTTTCTGGATAACTGTCCGAACATCTAATGTCTTAATGCCATGACCAGAAAACATTGTTGCCTCGTTCACGCTAGTTATTTTCTTAGTAATTTTCGGTGGTGTTGTGGTGGGTCAATCTTCTTTATAGAGGCTAGAACTTTTGATACACACATGCAAACGAAGATAAGGTGATTACATCGCGTTGGCATGACAAGCTCTGCAATTTACTTTAAATCTGAATGCTGACTATCTGCAACTAGGTTTCATATTTGTGCCTCATGAAAATACAAACTTATGAGATAGACGCAACTCGTCTTCATTCGTTCAAAAATTTTATAGCAAATTCGTGACCGGAATCTATATTACTGCTCAGCATGTTCCATGCGCGTGGATGACACCTCATTTTCGGTTGTCGATGTAAAGAGAAAACAATAATCTATATCAACTTTATTCCATAGACTGAACATATTTTTCCGTATCAGGAGAGTATCGCATGCTTTTCTGGATGGTGGTGCTGTTGTTGATGTCTAGTTCACTAGATATTTACGCCTTAAATTACTTAATGCAAAAGTATCAATCGGCATATGCCCAAGTATCAATAATACAGTATAAATGCCCGAGTATCAATAAAACAGCAAATTGAACGTGATCAGTGGCAGGCGGTCGTGTACAGCAAAGAACCATTGACCGCGTGTGATTATTAACAGTTGAAGAAGCGTTGTGAAGAGAAGCTTTATCGTACGTTTTCTATTAAAAATAACACTACAAGCAAAATTAAAAGCTAAGACTGCTTAAAATGTACAGTTGGCTAACCCCAAACTAAAATAAATTGAGTGGCTATAGCAACCTGTAAAATACCATGCATTCCATCAATTTTCAAAGATATCAGTGAACAAAGGTTTTAGCAAATTGTCATTCATACTCATAAAATGTTACACTCCCAAGTACAATAATTCATCATCTACCCCGTAATAAATTGGTTTATGAACTGTTGTTGAGCTAGAAATTGACACAAGTTAACTATTTGAAATTGGTTGTACTTTGCAAATGTTTCCTTTTTGACATATTTTTGTCCTGACCAAACACCAGAGCAGCAATTGAATTTACATTATAACTTATGTTGGTTTCTGCCAGAATAATTGAGATAAATATTCTATTTAACTGCACTGATATTCGAACATTCGAAGCTTTCTTGGTTCACATGTTGCACGGCAGCTGCAATATACATTGGTTGTAGCATACGTCGTTCCAGAATGAATGTTTCCTACATTAAAACTTCAGAAATCGCTTCCCTTTCACATCAAGCTCTGATATTCCTGATATTCGCCAACTTCCTTTTCTTCCTGATATTTGTCGGTCGCATTTCTTGGCACTGAGAAGCCATTGTGCTATGTAAAGAATGTATAGAAGATATTTTTAAGAATCGCTTCGAGAACGAATGCTTTCAAAGTTTATTTTCTAGGTTTGACCTTACAAGAGAGATATTCCGGAACGATTGAGTCTGAGAAACTGGAATAAATTTAATGACAAAGTTGGATTGCTAAGTTTAAATCGCAAATTTCAAAAACGTCATTGTTTCCTGCAACTAATCTGTTCATCGGCAATGCTTTGCAAGCAGTAATACTGCTTATAAGTTAGTCAAGCCGAAACTTTCTTTCACAGAAATTTTAGGCGTCAAAAATACTTCTTCTTACCGAGTGAATCGGAATAACTTTTTGCGTGTTGCACCATGTAAAAAATACTCACTATATTCTTTACAAGATGAATTATAAGCTTGGTTTAAAATCCAGTTTGGACCAGTCTCACTATTCCTGAACGACTTTCTGACTTCAAACATTTAGCAGCATTATTTACCCGTTAACTTTATGTTGCTTGTGAGTTTTAGTGTTTTCATTTGTGCTAACAATGGATCTCTCCAGGTCGCAAACGCAAGTTAGGTTTCCGGAAAAAGTCCCGGAGCACAATAACCGTACATCGCAGTGAAGAAATCCTACCTACCGCATCACGTCACCTACTGCGACAAAGCTCTAGTCAGAGCAGCGAGGAGGTTGATGCAGAGTTGTGGGAAAGGTGTGGTCATGTCTATACCGCTGACAACTAACATTCCTGATCTTATCATCTTCCTGGTCAACCGACGATCATTGCGAAAATCTCAACATAATGAATTATTGCATCCGACTTTGTTACTAGCTTAGATTGTCTTTTTTTGTGAAAGATTAAACTTCATAAAATCAGCTCCAGTCTTTTTATCCGTAATTTATTATTTAATCGATCACTGCAAAGACCATATTCTCAGGAGCATTACACAACCGGCTAAAAATTCATAAATGCTTCCCAAAAAGTTTCAAACCTCCAACAGTGATTCGTATAATTTTATCAACTCGCACATCATTTCAAAATAAAGATTGGAGTTGTCAACTCAACCCTCGTAATCGAAATCGCACGCGGGTATCCATTCTGCCCATTTCTTCTAAAGTTCTGTCCTTTTGACGTTCTAAAGTCGAATCCGTTTATCAAATGAAAAATTGTAGGTCCAGAAGTTGAAAAGTTCGGAATGTGTGGTGTCATTCATGCGATGTCATCCATAGGACTTAGCATGGAAGATGCGTCACAAAATGTGGGTTGCCCGTGCCTGATGACCACAAGTGTACGATGGGGAAACTCAACTGATTGGAATGTGATGCGCCGCCAAATGCCCAACAACATGTCTTCGCATTAGCAGCTTACATTGCCTTTAGATTACTTATTAGATTGAGTTTTATGGCTTTTTGATCATTTCTGTGCTTTTGTAGCTATTCTAGTGAGGGATCAATTTCGAAGAACAGTATTTTTATCGATTCGCAAGCTCTTTGGCCTTTTAAAAGTTCTGTTTCAGTTATTCGTAATAGCAATATTATTAAAATAATCGAAAAATTCTGGAAAGTATCAAAATTTATTTAAATTCTGCTCTTCGAGATAATGCCTTGGTTTTAATCGGTGATTCCAAGAATTTAAGTTATCGTTTAGAGCATTTTGGTTACCTACTTACCTTATCCGTATGTGTAAATGTATTTATTCTCTGTGGAATCCACTGTGTTCCTCCATTTGTTTCGCCAGAAATTCTTGTAGACCAAGAACTCTTATGACACAAATCTCTACTTCTGTTCCCCATAATGTTCCCTCAAATCCTTCAGTAATTTATCCCAACCCTGAAATTGTGAAGATTAAAAGTGGAGTCGATGCTTGGTTTGTGCATCGTGAACACTTGGATGAATACTAAAATTACAAACAGTTATGTTGCGTAGAATAGTAGTGGCTTCATTGTCTGCATGAAAACATTTGTTGCATTGAACTGTTGTCAAAATTCAACTTTTGTTCAGATAACTCGTCCGAATTTAAGGCAACGTGTTTGTCTTATATTTGGAAGTAGCACAGAATTTCTGGAGTTTGTCTTTCGCCTTGTATTGTGATATGTGTAGCGCTTCTATACACTTAGTGCTGTGTGGGGGAAATTACACATCCAAGATTGCTAATTTAACCACCTGATTTTGTTTACTGCTAATATCCTTCACACAGTCAAACTTTGAGCCTTTTCTTTTCATTGTCTCGAGTTGTCGTTCTCAGCGGGCGTCGAACCGTCTTATTCCCATATCCTTTCCGGTGTTCTTTTTATGTAGGTTCCCACCTACGTTTTACGCCGACCGAGAGAAAAACTAGTAAGCTCTACCTAGATAATCCTTTTGCCTCCCGCAGAGAATGCTAGAAAGCCTAGTAGTAGCTGGATTGTGCGGTCCGAGGAAGTGCTACCGGAGAGCACTGCCGGCACTCACTCAACCGGACAATCTCCGGCCATGATTGGTAGCAAGACTAGTCTCAGTCCCGAGGGACATGCGTAAGTACCAATACAGACATCCCCTCTAAAACAGCGCTCATACACCCGGCTTGTACTTAGCGTTACACCTGCCTTGGCTTACAGAAAGTCCTTATGGTATCTTCACCTTGCAATTTGTGTCGGCTCAAATTAGAAAGAAAAATCGGAGCAAACATTCCCTTCGATAAATTCCATTGTAATTCTTCTTGGTCCTTCTCAGACAATTTTTTTTATTGACTCTTGAATATTTTGTCATCATTTAGAAGGATTTTTTACTCTATCCAGTCTGATCTATGAAAATTTGTCCATTGTAAACACCCTTCTCGTTTCCTCACTAATCTTTGAGCTCGTGAATGACTTCGGCTTCTTGAGTTTCCTATAATTCAATCAATTGCAGAAAACAATCCTCGCTGGTTGACTATACTCAAATATTATGTCGATATAAACTCATAAAATTATTAAAAATTATCAATTAACTTTTACAACAAGGAAAAAAACTTATCAAAATTACAAGTTAAACTGTGATTGTGTTTTGATGGCTGCAACATTCAAATTATTCAGAATTATTGCGTAACTAAAAATTTATTAATGTCTCAATATTACCGGATGTGAATTTGATTTTATTCATTTGAAGTATTTACTTTTGAATTTTCCAATAAATAATAATTTACAAAAATTAAAGAAGTAAACTTCCACGAGCCCGTGTGTACTTTATTAATTTAACATGCACTTGCATTTAGCACTAAAAAGCTTCGTATTTTGTTTCGTGAGGACATTTCTAATCAAACTTAACTGTCAAGGTTCAATTTAACTTTAAAAGACAATTTTCAAGCACCGGACCATTCCGACACAAGATTTTCCAAGTACACTCTTTTCGAGTTATGGTTAAAAAATTAGTGTGGACGTTACTTTCATTTACTTTACAACACAGTGTCTTACCTCTCCTCGCCACCGCTTGTGAATGGCCGCTTGTGTGACATCCTTGCGACCACTGCTTCCAATAGCTGCTTCGATGCGGTATCACGCGACAACACCGAAACAAACTACGCACCAGTTCATGTTCCTCATGAAAACTTGAATTTCGTTAGATTAAATTATTTGAAATTGTATTTCTCAAACGAACATAATTTTTCTATTACTTTCCGAGCCAGCTTTTTCTGTGAACGAGATCTGCCGTAAGTAAACCGCCCACACTCGAAGCAAATAATTTATTTTTTAAGCAGCGCCTAGCTTCTTCGCAAAATGGCCACGAAAACGCTTGCCCTTCCACATTCCCGTGAGTAGAAAAAATTTCCCCGAGTCCATAAACTGATATGCATTCATATAGTGCTTTGAAGTAATTTGTACTTATGGACCCTTTGCTTTCAACTCGGCACGATATATTTCGTCAAAAATGTCTTCCTTCGGACAATTTTATGAATTACAGTCCTTCAGTTAAAAAACAATAGTGAATTTTTTCCAAAAATGAGAAAATGCGCTAAAAAGGGAATGCTCAAAAAATTTTGATCTTACATCTTCCCTTTTCATTGGAATTTAAGAATGATCTTGTCTTTCTTTATACGCACTTCTAATCATAGTCCGTGAAGGCAAAGAGTCCTTTGACGTGTTGTAGACTTGCACGTTGTCCACAAAGGTCCTTTCTAGAAGTAAAGTGTTAAGCGGGCTCTGCTGCCTGTCTGTCCTAACGTTCGTTAAGTCTTGTGTTCTCGCACTTAGTAGAACGCTAAACTAACACCAAGTGAATTTATGAGGCTGTACATTTTTCTCTTCGAACTTTCTTTCACCGAAAACTGAGAAAATTTGATATCTTATCATTGTTGCAGTGCCAACACCTTAATGGATATCCCGTTTCTATGTTGGAGTTTTTTCAATAGTTATCCTCATTGAGCTCAATTATATAAATGTAGACTGATGAACAGACGATGTTATTTGTTCGATAATAATCGATTAATTAACATTTTTAAATAAGTAAAAAATTACAATTTATAATTAAGTCATACATTTTCAAGTTATAAATTATAATTTATGACTTATTTAAAAATGAGAGGAAAAAATGGCCTCATGATTTCAAGCTGTGGGGTGACGTAGTGTCGAAGTAGACCTCCATGTGCTTGATGCTGTTTCAATAGAACTAACGGGTGGCACTGAGTGATACTTGATGTTGTGAATGCTGTGGTGATTGAGAGACAACAACTGAATGAAGAGGGATTGATTAATCAAGAGTGATTTATTTATGGAATACCCAAGTGCATCATGAATTTCATCATCTCTGAACTTCCATATCCGCGAGTAAAGAGTAATAACAATTTTTATAATGCTCAGCTGGAAAAGAGTCCCAAATCCGAAACAAGTGAAATGTTCGAACTTATTCGAAGTAACTCAATTTCATTACCGAATAAAATATTTCCTGCTACTTTGATTTCTTTATATGTAATGTATTCGAAAATAAAAACTTATTTTCCGCATTAAAGAGACACCAATCTCTTAATTGTAATCTCTTGCAGCTTTCGATAAGCGGAAACGGTGCTTGGGTGTATAATTGATTGTGGAAGTTTTGAAAATGTTGGAATCTATGAAGGAAACAATTGAAAGTCTGATGGAAAGATCAGAATAGATAATGTGTGCTTGTTTGCTGCTCATTTATCTTAGATAACAATTGAAAAACTCAGCAAAATTGCAATGCAATGACTCAAAAAATTTTCATGTTCAGTGAACGTGCGCTAATCTTAGAAGTAATATTTCTCTGCTCTAGAAATCATGAATAAATCGAGTTGAAATTTATTTCGAAACTAGCTGACTTGTTATATTGACCTGCCATGCAACTGACATCGTAATGTTATTGCCATAGAATTCTGATAAATCAAAGCTCAGAATTAAGTTTCTATGACACCAGCTTTATTTTTCGTCCACCGTCCAGCCGAGGCACACGCAGACGCGCCCCCACGGGTGAATTGACCGAGTTCATAGAGGGGCTCGGGCCGGGCCAGCTCGTGGGCCGTCAGGTGCTAGCGGCCCCAACGCTTGGGGACATTCAGCTCTCGATGTGCGAGCGCAAGAACAAACTCGAAGTTGAGGTGATACGCGCCCGAGGACTACAGTGCAAGTCTGGCTGCAAGACTTTGCCAGGTAGTTATTGACTCGCGCCGAGTGAACCTTTATGCAGCATCTTAACATGTTGCATTTTAATATTGTGGACTGAATAAAGAGTGAGTTTTGGTAAGCAGCTCTCCCTGCATGACTTCTGTGCATATGTATGTGAATATCTTCATGTAAATTTTATTTCTTCATACAAAATATTATGGTACTCGATCGAGTGCCACCATTGAACTGCTTGTTCTAACACAAACTCTGCAGAAGCTTTCCTGCAGATTTACACCAGTGACGCTTAGAATTTGATATCAGTTTCTATAACTCCTCTTTCTAATTAGGTTTTAATATTTCAGTAGCTATCGATGTAGATTTATTCGCATTAGAATTAATTATTGGTGTTTCATTTGACAGCAGCGAAAACTAATCGTATACTTTTTACATTTCTGGTGCCTCAGTCACCAGAAATGTTCTTCATTCTAAACTGTTAAAATTACAGTGATAATTCTAAACATAAGTTGCTGTCGTACGTCTGACAGTCTAGCATGAAAGATGAAAATTTTTAGACAGACAACAGTTTATAAACCATAATTGCCTCACCACGAGAGCATGATGAGAGATAACTTTCTATAAGCCACAATTGTCTCACCATGAGAACAGCCCCGTACGTGAGAAATAACGTTCTATAAGCCACAATTGTCTCACCATGAGAACAGCCCCGTACGTGAGAAATAACGTTCTATAAGCCACAATTGTCTCACCACGAGAACAGCCCCGTACGTGAGAAATAACGTTCTATAAGCCACCATTGTCTCACCGCGCGAGCAGCCCCGTACGTGAAAGTGTACCTGGTTGATGGCAAGAAGTGTGTAGCCAAAGCCAAGACGGCGACGGCTCGCCGGACGCTGGACCCGCTCTACCAGCAGCAGCTCATCTTCCACGAGCGCTACCACGGCTGCGTCCTCCAGGTGAGCTGCAATTAATAAGAACGCAGGCCACCTGGTGGCTCCAGTCTCTTTCCTATTTATGAATATGATCAAGCCGAGTATTTTGTTACTTAAATTAACTATGTAAGAAGCTTGACAGTATCCATCATCTGCTTGTTTGTAGGAGAAAATAGGCAAGCAATAATTTCAAGCTTTATATCTAGTGCTTCCAATTTATTTAGAAAAAAATAATGAAATATTTCACCATCCATGACTACATTACTTTTTTACCTTCGTTTGTATATTCTTTACATCTCACAGTTACCCAATTTAAAACATTCATTTTAGGTTTGTTGAAACTAGTAACAATAATCTCGGAAATAAGCCATCATGTCATTTTACCTGCTGTGGCAAAAATTATTACTTGAGATATTACTGAGAATAATTTGTGAGATGTACTCAAAAATTAACTAAGTAATTTTTTCTAAATCTATTAATTTCTAACCGTGCTTGGAGAACGTAGAAGCAGAAAATCCTAGCATGTTTATGAAGTTGACTTCATTAATTGCATGTTTATATAAAATGAATTCTATAGCATATTTTATGATGAGGAATTACATGTTCTGTGAGGCGGACTTGACAATATTCTCAGGTGACGGTGTGGGGCGACTATGGCCGCATGGAGGGCAGAAAGATCTTCATGGGCGTTGCCCAAATCCTGCTCGATGATTTAGATCTTTCCAACATTGTTATCGGATGGTACAAGCTCTTCGGCACCTCTTCGCTTGTGTCTCTACCGACCTTCACTAGACGAGGTTCGGTGGTCAGTCTGGAGTCGTTCGAAGAGAGACCCTGAATGACCAAGCTTATTGACCAACGTGCCGAATTTCACAAGATGAAGCTCAATGGTGAGCGTTGACGCAGGCTTATTGGAATAAATTTTAAAATCGCCATTGTCTGCAGACCAACCGAGTTAGAAGACATCGTATTTGTTATGGTTATTGGATTTCGGTTATAAATGATAGTTAGAAGAGGTTAAAGCAAATTAACCTATACAAAAAGTTTCCTTGACTGAAAATACGAATGATTGTGGGATGCAGTTGTAAATGAATTACAAAATTATTCTTCGGTTGTCAGAATTTTCTTTCTTGAATTCAGGTTGGCATTTCCGAAAAAGAGTTGAAATGTTATATTGGCAAGTACACTTTTTTTCTTATGTATGCTTTACTGGCGCATGCAAAAGTGTTTCAGTCATGTGTTTAATAGATCTTTGAATCCGCAGCAAAGCTAGGATGTTACGACGTTGAATTCTTAGAGAGGAAATGGGAAACTTTGTTGGAAATTGCACGTTAATAAGAATCTTCGGACTCTTGATTAATAAAGATGATGTTTATTTTTCTTTGAGATATGATAGGAAAGCCTGGTCCAAATCAAGCTTAAGATTTCTATTCGAGGTGCCAAAAAACGAAGGTAAGAGTTATTTTACTTCCTATTGCGCTACCAACTCTGTATATCAACTTCAATTCAAATTCAAATACGACATGCACTTGGCAGATTAAGACTATTGTACTAGAATGAAGTCTTAGTTTCATCTCGAACTTACGAAAGTTTAACCTTTGAACATTGAACGGTTTCTCTTGGATTTCCAGCGGCTTTCTCTATGGTCGTCTTGACCCACGTTTGCGTGAAAATTTCGATAACTCCTATATACCAACTCACTTTTTCAAAAATTTCACATCAATTAACTGTTGGATTTTAATATCTCATTTATTTCTTCGTTGATGAGGTTCATTTCTCTCGCTATTTCCTGTTCATCATTTTTGATCATTTCAAACATGCAAAACCCTCAAGATTTCATTGAAGTTTAGAAAATTTGTTGATGTGGAATTGAACGCAGCGATGAAAAAAGCCGTTAGAGTTCAGGAACCATCTCTTGATTCGTATTTTAAATTTCAAATTAAGTGTCGTGAAGACACTTAATTTGAAATTGAATATTTTTGACACAACAAGCATTAAGGCAATGTTTATTTATTTAGCATACCTGCAAGGCAGTGTTCAATTCTATAAAAAGAGGGCAGTGTTCAATGCTCATGCTCCGTTCACCCTGTCAATGGCTTCTATGCACTGTTGAGGAGCGAGCCAATGTTACCGTTCTCTGCCTGTTTCCGTCTATCGCCAAATGCGCGTTATCAAACTGAAAATGACTTGTTGGTACCCACCATGATAATTCGTGGTGACTACTTGGTACCATCCCTCCCTTAGATAATACCTAGACACTTAGCTCTATAGGTACAAGGTACTTATTTCCGAAGATGGTGCCATAATCGATAGGTGATTGCTAGATGCATGGGCTGGTAACCATGTAAGAAAGAGATAAAATTATGAAAAGATTAGCAGTTTGTAGAGCTGAATTATGCTGCTAGGAGTACCTATCTATAGCTAGCAATGTGAACATTTTGCATGTTGCCGACGGTCCAGCTCACTTTGAAGGCTGATCCAACGCTAGAGTTTAGGTTTGAACTTTAGGCCGTAGGTTCTACATTTACCCTTTAATCGGAAAATTGTTATATTCCATTTTACAAAAAGTGATTGGGAAGAATTTTCAGAAGTTTTTCTAATATGAATGGCCGATGAAATGCTGATTACATATTGGCATTTATAAATAAAAAATAGCTTAGAGAAAGTGGAAGGAAATGTAAAGACATTTGAGAGTTGATAATAGTCCGGATATGGTAGACCTGATTTTATAGGGTTTACTGAAGCTTACTGAATGTCGATAGATGAGTCCATGCTGTGATGGTTTTCTAAAAAGATTTATTGCTAATGCTTAGAGCTGGTAAAATTGCCAATAAAGCCAAGCCTTAATTCCAATGAATGAATGGGTTTTATAGAATCCATAAAATTGAGACTGGCACCAGATTTTCATTTGTTTACTGTAATATTCAAGCATCATCTATTTTAATGAAATCCATTAATTTGTTGTGACTAAAAACTAAGTCTCCGAATGATTTCCGAATGTTAATGATTTCCGAATGTTAATCCATGCTTGGTTCCTAATATATTTCGCCCTTATCGCAGGCCTTACATTTCCGTATTTTGTATGCATACGAAGGATGAAGAAGCTCAAGGACTAGTAGCTGCGGTACTGACTCGTCAGAGTGCGTGCGATCAATGGCCCCGTCGGTGGCTTACCGGGAGAAATTGCGAGAATGTGCGCAAAATGAACTAGCGTGCTCCCGAGACAAACCATGTAGATTAACTCTCAGTTCTTTCACAAATATTCTTTAAGACGCAACTGTTTTATATGTGTAAAAAGATAGCCATTTTATATAAAGATATTCATACAATGCGCATATCTGAGTCTGTTTTTCTCGAGGAGGCATTAAGAAGGGGTTATCCTCTCTGATGTATGATCGCCAGTGATATGTTGCGTCGTTGCGGTCTTCAGGCAGAGATAAACTCAAACTAGTTTTGAAATATATAATTACGTATCCTGGTCCGCTTAAAGACGACGTCGTAGTTTTCAGTAAAAACGCTGAATTAGTGACACGCCTGACTTAGCTAAAAATGAACATTGGATCGAAGGAACGCGGATCCATATGAGCAATTTAAACTTCCAAATAATTTAAATTTAAATCAGGATAGTTTGCCATATTGCCAAATAAACTACGTAATTTTCAAACTATTTCTTTCACAATATTTGTACGCATGCCTTTGAATACTCCAAAGACAGGATCATCAAATTAATTCAGTGAATTATTATTGAATGAGCAAGACACCGAGTTCTCTCTATGCCTCCTCCGAGTGTATCATGTACATGATAGTCGTAGTAACGACCTAAGAGAAACTTATAGAGGTAATAGCTATACGGAATAATTTACCACTCCATAAGAGATGTGTTCTCATAAGCTGTACTTGTTGTCCCATGTAAATGGGCCAAATATATGGAAAATAAATTCAAAAATTTTAGGTTGAACCAAAAAAGTTTGGTGTCGGGTATCGTCAGCAATCAATATGTTGTTGCATGCCTGGGAAGCGACTCATCTACTTTAAATTTACTAAGCCTGAATATAGACCTCAATGTTATAAGGTAAAATTATTATAAATTTATTTAGTAATCTGATACTTGGTAATTAACTTATGCACTGAACACAGGCTTGCCTTCATAATTCGGTTCTAAGTAGGGATGAGGTGTGGTGCTCTCGAAGCTTCTACGTCGCAGTGGATGCTTTTTCAACACTTCATCTACGACAGTTTATGTGAAACTGCAGACCTATTCTAACATCATTAGAAGCAACTGAAGGTTGTTGATTTGTTTAATGCAGAATTTCGAAAGTTTTTATTTTTAAATAGTAACAGAAGCAAATTTTTTTATTTATCTGTTTTTTAAATATTATATCATAGCAAATTCGACAATTGGTCTTCTATTTTTTAATTATTCATTTAGTGATCAACTATGACGGAGTGATTAGTGAAGTACTGAGCAGATCACCAAACTGCGCAACATGTTTCTATAAATCTTCACATTTTATACTTACTGATATGGTGCTCATCATCTCAGTAGGTAACGCCGCCTTCATGCTCCACCGGTTGTTACATCTATAAAATTTATTCCTAGGTTGTTCATCAACATCATATTTTAAACTTGAAATGTAATTTTTGCGTTTTTTTTATATTGATATTTTAATTTGCATTTGGTTTATGTAGCAATTCACTTCGTAGCATCGCAATTTGCGTTCATCGGCTCCCTAGGTTTTGGGAGAGTGATAGCGTGTCGGTGACCGCGATCAGGTTTCAACAAGATTGTGATATTTTTCAAACGCCATTTTTGTGCCGTACAATACGAAAGACTTAAAGACGCTTTCGTCTTGAATTCACATTTAACCTAAATCACTTAATTCGATTCATTATTATTTAATGGTTAGAAATAAACGAATTAGCAAATTAACGTATTCCCAAGGTTTTTATAATCAGTTCTCAATAGTCTTCGGAGAACGCCGTATACTCTAATAACCTTCATCGGCTACTTGGGCAAAAGGGTCCACTAATGTGTAAGATTTTCTGAGAGAAGAGTTTACCCTCGAAAAGGTAAACGATGACTTCAATTGCAACGAAAGTAACTTAGAACTTCGTCGAAACTAGAACTCTTCGTCGTCCGGAAACGAAAGGTAGATTTACTAGTTTCTTTCTTATATGATTAAACGCTACGAGACTGCAAATTTCTTCTCTCCTAGATAACTTGTAATGATTAGTTGCTAGTTTTTGTGACCAGGTGGATTGCTGGGATCAATCTATAGCTCAGTTCCTCCCCCTCCCATTCACCTCAAAGAGGGCAGCAAGTTGCAAGCTACACTTCTATAAGCATGAGAAATTTTTGTTTTTCGTTGGTAACAATCTAATTTATTGCCAGAGCTATATACTTATTCTCTAGCAAAATTTTGTCCGTATATTTGAAATGGAAAATGTCAGAAAGAACTTTATTGTCACGCCATGCCCAAGACTTTTTTTATTTAGTAATATATTACAGGATAAAATTTGCTTATTATCAAACATTTAAGGCGTGTATTAGATTTATTCCTTAACGGAGCAAATGGAAAATGAATTACCCATGCCAATTAAGGTCATTTTTGTAATTTTCGGTGAATGATTTCAAAAGCTTCAATGATGTGTTCTGCAAATCAATAATTTAAAACGTACTTTTTTTCTCGATAATATGAATCGTCTTTTCTGGTGAAACATACATGGCAAGTATAAATTCATTTTAAACTTTCTCTCATAACTTGGAGTTTTGAACAACGGTTTCATTTTCCTCCATTAAACAGACTATTTGCAGCTACAAGCTGAAAATTTTATCCATTTGACAATAAATAATAAAAAAGCTTCGAATGTTACAAAAATTTCATTCATATTTTCTTCATTCAGACCGATGGATTATTTATTATGCTTTCATTTTGCTCCTGAAGATTCTTGCCGCCACTGCCAGCTCGGAGGACGTTCTTTATATATAGTGATTACGTAAAGATTTTGTTTGGCCCAATGAAATTTGTGGAAACAATTCATGATTTTTTGTCAAATATTTGTTATATTTTGGTTGAAAATTAATTGTCATCTATATTGCCTCAGTTGGTAATCTTTAACACTGATTAAAAAGTACTGTTGTTTGCAGTGTCCATATAGTTATTTATGACGATGATATAGACAATGAAATTACGTTGCAAAACGAAGATCATCGAACCAATTTAGCTGCCTGAGGGTTTTACTATATAACTTGTTCAGCTTTTATTGCATGGTAGAGTACAACGAAAATTCCAAATAATATCATGAATTAATTAAATACGTATAAGTTATTGTGACGCGACGAGTTGCTTAACACTTGACGAGGTGTGAAGTTACGACGACGTCTTCTCGTCGCCTTCTCATTGACGTGTGAACAAAGGATGTTTAATGGCTGCCTTTTATTGCCCTATTCAGTTTTGTCGTGCATGCAAATGGCAAATAAAAAAGAATTCGAGGAATACGTATGAAAAGTACAACTTTATTCTAACTTTAAAGTTGTCTGAGCGGATGAATATTTAAAATAATTCTAATGAACTTTTTGCGCATTAAAGGCAAAAGGACACAATTATGAGCACATATACATATAATACATACGAGTTTATGCTTACATTTATAATTATGAATTTTGCAATAGCATATGTAAATAATTTATCGAACACAGCTCCGTTATTCAAATACTGATGCAAACATTGACGCGTCCACTCAGAAGCCACTGTTTATGCTGCGTTCTTGATCTAAAATTTCAAATATGTTAAAAATTCATTGAAAATTTCAAATACGTTTATATTACGATTCAAGAAACGTCATTTTTTTAATTGTTGCATTTGAAAAATAAAATAATGATCGGGCAGATGAGCAGTACATGCACTCATCTTTCTTACTGCGTTTGAAGCACTTGTTAAAATATTAAACCATGTTTCAGCTCCTCCAAGTTAGATCCTATGTATTCTTCAGATTGAATTAGCCGTAGCTTATCTTTCCTCGCTCGGGCCTGCCGGGTCTTCCAAGCGTATACCTGCAAATATATAGTAGTGTTTTTTTATCATTAGTTTGCTTAAATCGCAAATTCACCAGAAATTTATAATCAAAGAAAACGCATATCAAATTCATCTTATCTTCATGAAAAAAAAATCATCATTTTGAAAATTCCTTAGAAATTCAAGTACAATTAGCAGTCCAAATATGCGTGAAAGGATTAAACCTGAGTAACGAGAAAACGACAAAAGAACATGAATAACCTACCAATTTAAAATTTCAAGAGGATAAGAACTGTAAGCGTTTAGGCAGCCTTTCCGTTTAGAATCGCTGCATATTTATAAACTGAAATCCTGTCTCAATAACGCATACAGTTCTCATCCTCTTGAAATTCTAAATCAATAGGTCTTATATTCCCTTAATTATCGTTTTCTCATCACTAGGTTCAAATCTTTTTCGTGTAGATTTGTATTTTCACGTTGATTTTACTTGTATTCTTTTGATGAAGAAGCTGGTCTCCAAAATGTTTGCATGAAGATATGGTGAATTTAATTGGCGTACTTTTTTGCTTCTACGTTCTTGGTTGAATAATATGCAATACACAGCAATCATGTTGATCATGATTGTTGATCTTGTTGATCATTGATAGTTGATCGTTTCTATAAGTGCAGACTTGGTAATCAAGAATGACATGCGTATTCGGAATAAATACTCATTTAGCGACAAAAAATTACAATTTCCATGTATTGAAAAGCTTATCTGTCAGTGGAAACACAAAATCATTCCATAAAATAAGGGTTTCAAATTTGTTTGATATTTCCACATTAAAAATGAATAATATTGATATTAGCCTTTGTGCAATAAACTCCAGAAAGCCATGATAGCAGCAAAGTTTTTTTACAAAATATTAAATATGCCTAATAAGCATGTTACCTTTCACACAAACCCTTTATATACGGCAAAAAAATAACTTCAGATTTTTCACCTTTCTATTCTAAATTTTATAAACCTATGTACCGTAAATAATGAAAACCCCGTACAAAGTCGCATTTAGCACAGAATTAACTCCCATTAAAGTATCGTTAAGGATTTTAAGAGAACTGGAAATATTTATTTATGAACAAATTTTGCGCAAACAAAATTAAAAGTCTCATTTTAATTTAACTAAAGTTAAAGAAAAAGAAGTTAAAAGTCATAAAGAAATAAAAGTCATAAAGAAGTTAAAAGTCATTTAACTTCTTTATTTTAAATTTAACTTCTTTGTTCATTTTCCAAATTCACTTACTTTAACATTAAACATAAAATTCGTTAATAATGTACTTGCACGAGAAATATCGTGGATACGCACCCTTTCACCTGTATATTTTCAACGCCACAAACAAAATAACAAAAACGCACAAGTACATCTTGTCAAATAGATCTATGATTGTCGCCAGTATTGTTCACAAGATTAAAAAGAATCCTGATTTTGCGAACCTGTTTCCCGTCTTGTTCTTTGACTTTGGACGGGATCAATCCCAATGTTGCAAGGTTGCCAAGTGGCTGAAAAGTTTAATCGATTCTAGAACGATAGGTTCCACGAGTTCAAGTAACCACGAAAAAATGCTACAATATCTCCGGAGAATTTTTCAAGACTCACCTCGTTGGTGCCATGCGGAGGGTTGAAGATTTCCAGGGATGCTGATTTGGTCAATTCGTGCAAAAACCTTGACGCTGGGCACGCAGATTCATAATGTAATCGAATACCGGTCTGAAAATTAAAAGAGAAATTATGATTTATTGATATAAGTAGAGGCTAAATTATTTGTTAGTGCAATTTTTTTACAAGTAAAATCTATATCCTCTCAGTTATCGAGTCCAAAATTATTTTTAAATGGATAATATCAATTGAAACGCTTTACCAGAAAATCATTAGATAAGAACCGGGTCTTTCTATTGTTCAGCAATTTTTACCCACTGCCGACAGCCACCAGTTCTGCTCAACGCAAGTAAATAGATGATCTAAACAAGCTTTGTAATAACTGTTTACTCCGCGCTGCTCTCGAGCTAGTATGCGGTAAGTCGTTCTTAAAACTGGGGGAGCAAAAAGCCCGGCGAGGCATGCAGGGCAACGGAGTAGTAATGAAACTCGGCATTTCTCTTCATTGAAATTTGCAACAAGCAATGTCCCAAGCTATTGAATGCAAGCCAACGCCCGAGTTCGGATAAATGGATCAATTCGTCATTGTTATGAAAATTCCAACTATAAAATCCACGATACCAAATTCCAACGATCTGACAAAAAAAAACATATAATAATTGACATTGTTGCCCATCATCACTTACTTCTCGTGACCTGCGATCGTCTCGGATCCTGCGAACGATTGACTGATCACTCGTCCAATATAGGTATTGTCCTACTCCTGCTTCCATTATCATAGTATTTTGTTAATCACCATTCATCAGCTGATTGTCTACCATAAACAACTACTGCCTTAAGTCACCTCACGAAGATGTCTGAGCGCTACAGCGATAGCTTCTAGCTGCACTGCTCGCGCGCACTCGGCCTGGAGGGGCTCGTCTCGTGTCAACCAGGCTTGCGGATGTGCCACGCTGCCGCTGCGGTCCAGTAGAGCCACGGGCCAGCTCGACACGGCGACCGTCCTTCGTACCTGCAGAATTTCGGACGTTTGCCTTTCAGGTAACAAACGTAACACACACTGGCCTAGAATGAGAACTTATATGTCGGGAGTTATTCCTCGATTACAGCATAAATATGAAGCGAGCGTATGGAAATTAAGGCTGATTTTACATTCATTTCATGAATATTCACATTTCCTTGCAAATATTACAGATTATAACTTCGCACCCACCCGATCAAAAAGATTAAAGTCAACAGTTGTTGTCTGACACAAGAACATTACAACAACTGACGGTGGGAGGTTGCTGCTAAGTAGCCAATCTAGCGCCATGCTCCAGCTTTCCAGGTACTGATGAGCCTCGGCTGATCCTAGAAGATGAACAGCATAAATACAGTGATATTGGAAGCTAATTCAAAACAAAATTACTTTAAACCGCTAGTTACTGTCCAAGTCAGACTATGAACACTATGGCTATATGGAGGAGGAGAACAATATTAAAAATCTTTTACTGACTTCCATTATTTTAAATCTAAACTTCGTGGTCTAGTCTCTAGTGGGAGCCTTTCGAGAAAATCGCCCAGGAGGCCCGTGTTAGATTCCCGGTATGGAATGATGACTTGCAGCCGCGGACACAATCATCAAGTATATTAATCCTTAGATCATGGAAAAACTCTGATGAGCATTCATTTCTTTGAAAATTCATGTATTTTTATTTTTGGTGACTTTCCGCGGTACTTTATGGGCTTTTCGACGAATAATTTTCACGCCAGAGCTCACCTCTTAGGAGGGTGTAGGGCAGAGCACTAAACTCCAGCATTCTGACGAGTGGCGGAGGAACTTCTCGGGACGTAAGTTGCAGCGCCTCGCCAGGTGGAAGACCAGGCAACTTATTTATTTTCCCCGTGATGACTATGATCCAGTGCAGACGATGTGTGAGTGACAGAGTCTGACTCAGCCGCATCAGCTCGGGAATCTGGACATGTCCCGTAATTGTAAGATTTGATAAATGGCAGGAATCAACCGAAATATTAATAATATATGTATATATCTTCTATATTATGTACTTAGCGCCATTGATTTGAGATAACGAAATGATCGCAATAAAATCCAAATGAGGAAAGGCAAGTTAAAACTCGATGGCTAGCCAATTTGTAGTAAAGTTTTTCAATAAACGCTGTTATTTCTCTATCCAAATACTTTCAGACTAAATTTATTTTGCAATCATTGGTCATCAATATTATTACATTTTCTTTACTAATCTATGTTATTTTTTTAACGGGAGCTCATATCTGTAAAACATACAATTATTTTAGTGACGAATGTATTCTACGTCATGTCTACTTCATTTTATGTGTTCAACGTGTATTCTACGTCAGATGTATACATGTATATTTTCTCATATGCATTCTTGAACAAACGGTCTTGTAAGGAAGGATTTTGTTGATTATCAGCGTTGGTTTAAGCTTAAGGGGACCGTCTACCCTAAAAATCGGAAATTTTTGCTTTTCCGTTTTCTTGACTCATTTTGTAGCTGCTGAAAAAGCGCGTCTAACGCAGTTTACCGCATGTCTGTGCGTGCTATAGTTTCTGCGTAAGACAATTTTAAAAATATATAAAATGAACATTTTTTAACAATATGTACAAAGATTTATTTGAATTAAATCTGTATATATAGATCATTACTTTCGTTAATTACTAAGTGTTTGCACTCGTTTGAAAGCTACAAACGAGACGCGTTCAACAAAGCTACTACCATTGCTGTACATGCAAAATTTTTTGTGTAATGCAGTCTTAAACTTTTATAAAATGAACATTTTATAACATTATTTACTAATAAATGGTATTTATATGTCATTATTTAGGTTAATTGCAAAGTGTTTGCACTCGTTTGAAAGCTACAAACAAGACGCGTTCAACAAAGTTACTACCATTGATGTACGTGCAATAGTTTTTGCTGAATGCAGTTGTAACGTTATGTAAAATGAATATTTCATATATATACTGTATTTATATATAAAAAGTCCAATTTATAGCTTATTATTCACATTAAATTTGACATAAATAGGTCTAAAGATGCGTGCTGGTACCTTGAATGCAAATAATTGGCAATGGGAAAGCTTGGGCTACAATATCAAGACTTTTTTGGGCATATTCTTCTGTTTTCAATTAATTTAACTTTATTTGGCTCCCCTGAACTATTTAAATTTTCGTTTTTTGTCTTTTTGAAAACCTATCTCCTCCTACAGTTTTCAAGCTACAGCAATGAGACATATACCATTCGATTCGTAAAGACACATCATTTTTTGGAATTTGTGTATGGTTCGTCTTATATATGGGGGAGAAGGGGGGGGGAGGGGGGAAAAAATGAGAAAAATGGGGAAAATGCGCATAAAAAAGACTATGGGGAAAATGAGAAAAGTGATGTTAGAGTCGATAGGTATGGTCTTTACGAATAGAATTGTGATAATCTTTCGTGCCGAGGTTTAATTAAAAAGCTTTACCCACATGAAAGTTTTATTATTAACTTAATGGTGAACTAGCTAAGAGCTCAGGAGCGGCAATAATTGGGACTGGCCTCTTCTCAGGTCGACTCCCTACAAGAAACAAAGTCTAGCATAAGTTTAATAACTTAAATAATTGCACCTTATCTAAAAATAGAAATGAATTCTTGGGATTTACACACAGAATATTCAACACTTGGAAACGCAGTAAAATTAAGTACACGCCACTAGAACATACCTCTGCAGATGCTGAACTACGCGGGCACATCCCTTCGTAACCCCTTCCGGTAAGTTGGCACCAAGTTCGCTATCTGCTACGGGATCGTCAACCCGCTCTAATCGCGTCAGATCGAACAATACGGTTTGCTCTTAGTCTTTATGCTGCTTTTAAGAAGATCGAACAAAATATTCTGATTTGACCCTACATATTCCTACAAGAATGATACGTGTCTCAATGTTGTAGGATGATATTTGTAGGAGGAGATAGATTTTCTAAAGTACCCGTTTTTAACCGTTTTCTATGAATTTCACGTTTTCTATCAATTTTTTCAAAAAATTCATACGAACAAAATGATATTTTTTTTACATTATACGTGTGTATGTGAAGTTTCACGATGATCGGATGATAACTAGAAGTTTTTACGGAGAGTAGACGGTCCCCTTAAGAAAATTTGTTGGACTTGAAGGATGCAAGATAAACAAAAAGTTCTATAGAATAGAATAGAAGTGTCGGCGTTGAAGAAAGAGGCCCATGGCCTGTTGCGTCTCAAAAATACTGATGGCTTATAGGACAATGACTTAAATAGCAATAAGTGAATATTAATTAACATTTATTCACATTTTCTAAGTTCACTAGTTGACTAGTTAACTGCTTGACTTGGAAATAAAATTGTCGTGAAGTTAATATATTGTTGGTTAATTAAATACATTGCGCCGGTATCGTTCACCCCGCCAGATTGGCCGCGCCATTAAAATATATTTAATTAATGTTCACTCCCATGCAGGAATTTGTTTTGGTTTTCAAGCTCTTGCATCCACTGAAGATTTCGAACGTTTCATAAAAATTTCAGATTGTAGCATTTCCATATTAAGAAATAATAGCGTAATGCTGTTTGGTTTGCTTTAAAGTCAGTCCTTCGTGATCCATTCATTAAAATAGGTAGATGGCTGATGGAGTAATAAATAATAATCTAATAATTCAAATTTAAATTCGCGTTTAGCTAGTTATCGGTGTTTTACTGTCATTTGTATCCCTACTGAATATACAGCAGTAAGAAAATTCATTTTAATATTTTGATATTAAATTGTTGATTTCTGTACTAAATTTTCAATTCACACGATAGTAGTAAATTATAATTCGACCAGGGAAATAGCGGACGTTCACTTTTCAACATAAATTCCAAGTGTATTAATACTCTTCTTCAGGGATATTCCAGCATTCATCTGAAACCCTTGTACAACTTTTAATTGGTTCCTACTTAACCCTCTACCGCATGACATCAGTAACCGGAAGCAATATTGTCACACTACTTACTGATACAATATTGTCGCACTACCTACTTTCCACCAAAAAGCATAAATGTACGTTGCTAGAGGGCGCCATATGACTTGCACTGATGGTTGCCGCCACGTAAGACAACTTTAAAATGTTAAAATGTCTCTGTTGCGTACAAACGTCCTCAGGTTGCTACACTCAATAGTTTACGTATAATTTGCCGCCACGTACGACAACTTTAAAATGTTCTCTGTTGCGTACAAACGTCCTCAGGTTGCTACACTCAATAGTTTACGTAAATTGTATGTTCGCGGAGAGTGACATCCGGCGGTAGAGGTCAAAATCTCAGAAACATTCAGTTTCTCTTTCATATTCACGTCTTGTTTTTTAGAATCACGAACACTTGACAGGAATGTTTGGTGACTGTATGTGAGAAGGTTTCAAGGTAGGATGTCAAACTTTTGCTTACCTAAAGTCACGTATAAGTGATTTAGTTTTGATAGAATGTATATTGCAGCATAATTTACACTTATACAAAAATCTGATAAAATTTCTTCATACACTGAGAAATGCCTAGTTCATTGTGAATTATTAAGTTTCAAGCTAAGGGAATGTAAATTGGGGAAGAAAGACGACCAGGAAATTGGGAAGATAAATAGATGCAGGGAGCAAAGTTATTTATTGGCATTCTCACTAATTGCCAAATTTCCTACCAAGCTTGCTCGATATCTTTGTAAGTGAACACCTCAACAGCTAGCCAATATTTTAATACCTATGATTTTTTAATTGACTACTCGCAGCGCTGGAAATTTTCTGATAGCGATATAAATAAGATAACTGTGTTCATATTAAATCGGCAGTCAAGTGAACCATGAGATAGTGGTATATCAAAAGTAATTAGGAGACCCACAATTATTACACATATATTTCAACTTGTATAAAGTTATCGCATGTAAATGGTTATTTATTAAACCGGACAAGTTACCGCGAAGAGCGAAGCATCGGTCGGCGTGATGACGTACAGCCATGGCAGAGAACTCGCTTGGTCTGCGGCCGCTCGCGCTGCTCGGCGCGCGTCCAGCTGCGCCACATCTTCTGCCGTTCTGTTGTGATGTTCTGCAACCACATTGTTGTATGTGATGGCTTGGATGTATATGTGATATGTGATTGGTATGTGATTGCTCGTCGCACTTCAATAAATACTATAATTTTACGAGGAAGGCAGGTTCTATAATACACAGGAAACTCTAGAACTGTTTATTATTATAAATTATTGTTGGAATTGGAAAGAAAAGCAGGGACAACATGAGTGTAATCAGAAAAAGTAGAAAAGAGTATAAAAGTAGGAGACAAAAATAATTTTCCGTGCTATGGTAGAGGAGGGGCTAAATCACTTCAATTTATAATTAGATTAATGCCGATCTCAAGGAACTTCTTCGAAAAACGTACCTCGTTTGTAAGAAGGATGAAGACATTCATGGATGATATATTTTAATAGAAGGATTAAAATAGCCAAGCCAAGTAATAAACGTAAACATCGTTTTCTAGATTTCCCTAACATGATATCAAGGAAAATACAGTCAGTGAGTTAAAATTCGTCCGAAACTTTTGTGAAGCATCTTCAAACGAGTTTATTTATAAATGTACGTCAGGTTCCACCAGAACTAAGGCTAAACTCTATTTCGACTGACAAGGTCAACTCCTGTAGGCACTCAAGAATTCAAATCTCCCTATTTTCTTTTCACTGTAAGGGGCAATTAATGGCCGGAAATCAACCTTATCGTTTTCACTTGCACTCAGAACCAACACGTCCAACTTCACCGGCCAGTTCCACCTCGATGCTGCTTGAGAAAGGCAAAAGCTCACTGTTGGCTTAGGAGTCCATTGTCCCGTGTACTTCAAGAATAAGCGAATATTCATTTTCATTATTCGTTAGATAATAGAAACTCATCAATTTCACACATACCATCAAGAAAATTTCAAGTTAAAGCTATAAACTATGTAATTATTCGTTAGATCGAGGTATGAACTAACATTAGGAATTATCGTTTATACAAAAAAAGGATGAACATGTCTCAACCGTTTTTGTTCGAATCCATCATGCCTATTCCTCACTAACATCTACACGATAGCACTCAATCACCGTCAGCTGAGTTAGTCTACATTAAGAAGAAAAAGTCGACCAAGAATACAACTTATGAAGCGGCCCACGCAATACACGGTCGGTCACTCAGCATCTGGGAACTGACTACGCGGCATCGGCACTTGTAGGGCTAGTCTAGGAGACACGTGACGTTATCAGCAGTCAGCGTTATCGCACTCGAGCCACGCAGAAGTGTAAATAACGCGCCATATTCCTTTATTTTTCAAGTGCATTTGGGCACATAAACACTTGGTGTTATACGGATAATTGAAATAAAAGAATATATTGAGGACTGGATGGAATTACTTTAATTATTCTGAGCTAAATTGCATGGGCAGCAGCGAAGTACATTCAACGACAAACAGCCGCCTCAAACAGAGGATAAACAGCTTCTGAAAAACAGGAAGGTGAATGAAACTCTGAATAGTAATAAGATTTATGGATTGATTCACGTTACTGTAAGAAATGGATAAGATTGCAGACTTGGCAAAGGGCAGCAAAACTTAAGACTATTGTATTGAAACGGACTTCAAACAGACAACTCTGCCCCAGGACCGATATGGGAACTATACAATAACTGTAATAGGCAAAATTCCTAAGTATTTATATACAATACGATGGAATGCAACTGGATTATTTGATTCAAGATTAAATTGAATATTCAGAAACGCACTAAGAGGCAAGCGTCAACGAACGTGCGTGTGATGCCCGTCACACGCACACGTAACAAAAGCGAGAACGGAATGCATAGCGAGTTGTTATGAGAGTCACTTGAAATATATTCATACTCCATTCATATCCAGCTACTCCAACCAAAGGGTCAATGGCGGAAAATTTAAATAAAATTTGCATATTTTTGACACTCAACCTGATTGAAAGTGAACATTAAAAAAATAGAATGTGAATATTAGCATGAATGAAATTTAGGAAAGAAAGCACGTGTAAGTGAAGAATTAAATTACTCGACAGTTTTACAAAGTGCAAAATGAATGCCACAAATTGATCGAAGATAACAGAATTTCCCATTCCAGCTGGCATGCATGGATTCTTTTACTTTGGTTCACATTGACACATTAATTCTATCTCTGCGATCGTTTCATCACTGAAACACACGACAAAGTTTGCACCAATCAAACAAAAGAGTATCATGTCTTCGAAATTTTTTGAACACTAACCAAGTAGGCAAATGTACTTGTAAATTAGCGCCAGCGATAGAGTGAAAAATAACACAATCAAAGTAGAGTGAAAAAATGCATTCCAAGTAGAGTGTAAGAACAGAATGTTGATCCCAGTGTCCCGTATGTAAACAGCGCACGGACAGATATGCTCCTGCTTCATTACTCACACGCATAGACGATTGCGACAAGAGCCTCTGAGAAACGAGGCCATTTATACGGTTCTTACAACCTACCTAAGCTAGATATTATGTTATAAAAACAAGTAACAGTAAAAGTTTAAAAGCTTTAAGTATATACACTCGGGTTGCTATATAAAATTACTCCTATCCTATATAATAAGAACCATCAAAAATTTCTGTATCGACGAAAGATTAAAAACGCACTAAGAAACGACATCGAGAATTAAACATCATCGTATAAAAACATCCTAGAAAAAAGATGGCTGCTTCAGAGTGAAAAATCCTAGGAATAACGCGTGAGGGCGTGGTGCGCAATGCGTTAAAGAACTAACGGTAAATTTTTCAACAAAGACCACGAGTGTTTCCAATTCACATATGAAGTTTTAAAAGTTATAATAGTCTTGGATTCACAGGTTCGATTCACATATGAAGTTTTAAAAGTTAAAATATTCTTGGATTCACGGGTAAAGTCACCGATTCCGACAAAAAATATTCGTAAAATGTCGAATATTTTCCAAGAAAAATTGAACGATTTATTGTCACTTAAACAACAGGAATAACGTGCCAGACAATTTCACAAATGACCCCAAGCAATGAATTTGAGAACTAATCGAAAGTGTGTCGCTCAAATTTTGAAGTTAGTTCATCATCGAATTAACAAATACTATTTCATCTCGAAGCCTGTTAGTTTATATGAAATCGATTGAACATGATACAAATTGAAAAAAAAATATTTAGTACCGTTAATTTAAAAATACGCTGTGCAACAAGAAGTAAGAAATGTCCCATTTGGCGCTAACCCAGTGTACTGTTTTATCCGAGAAGTCGTGACAAAATGCAAGCTTGTAATTCAAAAGACAACAACATGTCTCATCGTAACATCGGACACCCACAAATTAGAATGACATTGCATCGATAAAATTTATTTACGTCCAACTCAGCAAGCAAGTAAAATTATATAATAGGCGTTAAAAATCATCCCCACAGGTTTTCAGAGGCATCGAAACATCAAAAGAAGCGTTACAAATCAGCATCTTCGATTTGCCGGAACATCAAGACATCAAAAAAGGCGTTACAAATGACCACCTTTGATTTGTCTGAGCATCGAGACATCAAAAAAGGCGCTAGAAATCATCACATTTGATTTGTCGGAGCATCAAGACATCAAAATCGCATCATAACAGCGATGAATCGCATCACAACAGCGATGACGTTGAAGTGCATTGACTGAGAGGCGACACCGAGAGAGAGAAAAACATAAACTGAAAATGAATCATTTCTATCTGCAACGGACTCCCGGCATCAGTACTACAGTAATATTCACACAAGGCATCTAAATTCCGATTATAATATTATGTCGATAGACAAAATCCCAGAAACTTAGTGTTCTCTGGTGAAGATTTTCGTCACAAAAGAAAAGTATTTTAGTTCTGGGAAAAAATATTAGAAAAAATATTGTAATATCGGAATTTTCATTTGTACAGCTGCTAAATGGGATTTTTGAATTAAATAAAATCAAACTAATTTCTGAGTTTTTTAAGACTGATTGTGACTGTCAACGTAATCTTGACTCTAGTGTTCAATTTTTTTACATTATCCTGGATAATAACTTTGACTATATTTAGTATTCACTTACAAGCTGATAAGAAACATAAAACACGAATCAATTGATACTGAGAGATTTTTCGCGAATATTTTAACGATAGTTAACACGCCCCCCTCGAAACGGACTGGAGTAAACCGCGGACGCGCGAGTGTCTGTTGGCGGCTATAAGTTACTTTTTTTCAAGTTTTTGTTTGACTTTGCTCAGCAACAATGCCTAAGTAATTCATTTTATACACGAGCGATCTTCCTACTGTGAAAATCCGCTTTACAAACAGCATCGAAACAGTGAGGTTTCATGCGCATGAGCATTAAAATATGCTCGAATAACCTTTCAGCATCAGTCGATGTCATTTTTGTTCTGTCTGAATTTTAATTTAACATTGGATATTTATTCGGAAGTATCAACTCCATAATTTCAGCTAAATCTAGAAAATTGAACAACAAAGTCAAAATTACGAAGATAACCACACTTTCTAAAATTGTAAGTTTTTTTAAGGAACTCAGAATTGCTTGATTGTAAAATTTTTGAATTAGTCTCATTTGGCAGCGGTGCAAATAGAGAAATACTTATCGGATAATAAATTCTCCCAAAAATTTTATTTCACCACCACCTCATCATAGAGACCAGGAAAATCGACGAAGATATTTGTAAACTTGCAATACTGCACGCAGTATGACGATTTTAATGACCAGATAATTGCTCGTAGCGATGAAAATGAAAGTGAAATGAGACGTCACGCCAGATAATTTTCACAATACGACAGCACTCGCAACTCCTGCGCCTCAACCATGCACACAAGTTACAGCTAATATACTTTTATGATATATATGCGTATAAATAGTTCAAGATATCGGTGGTGATGTGGTCACGTCACAGCACGAGTCGCTCACTTCTGCATACGTCACTTCTTCTACCACATGTCCTTGATTAGTTCCCTTCGAATTCCATTGAAAAACATAAAAATCTGTGAGCTATGCAAGGTAGAATTAAGCCGAAATTATATGTGAAGAAATGAAAAAAGGTTATTCAGTCCAATTACAAGTAGACTACATGCCTCCCCAAAAAGATCAATTAGCAGATTGGTTAAACTTGAACTTTCAGGCGAATTTCGATACAAATTTGCAATTCGCGTGCGTTCATATTTAACGATGAAATCTTGATTACCGACAAAAAATTCACAAAAAAAAACAATGGACGAAATTACCTCGTTAATATTGCGATAATGTTATATATTTGCAATCGGCATGTTAACTTAAAGCCGTATTTTGTAATTGCCTGCCGCTTTTGTATAATCATTTAAAAAATAATAAATGAGCACTAATTCCCGTATGGTCCTACAATACACTAGGTTATTTTTATCAAATTTAAAGCTGCACTAATGAACAGCTCTTATGCAGTTGCCTACACATTGCCCCTTAGTTTTCATGCATATAATAAGTTAGACATGGGTGGTGAAGAACGTAAGCCAGGCAGTGGGCTGCGCTCGAGCCGCGACGTGACAACACAGTCACCGTAGCGATAATTGCATACTGTTAAGTGATGGTGGCGAACGAGAGAACATCGCTTGTGAGCAGCACTTTCGTTTCCTTTTCATTCATTCTAGTCAATGAAAGTAGAATACTAAATAAATAAGTAAAGAGTCACCGGAATAAAAATCGATCGCTCTGTCCAGCATTTTATAGAAGGAACCGAAACTTGCTGTGTCAAATTTAGTAAAGAAAACTGAGTTGAAGTTGTGATGAGACCGCTACATAAAAGGATTCCCCGTTTTCTGTTGGTATGAAACAAATGGTACGATTAACTAGGAAGTATACGAAACACTTACTAATTCAAGTAAATCAAGTGTTCAAATTTGGTACTCCGGAATTGCCTTAAAATTTCACGTTCCATATTGATCAACTTCAGCAGTAGTGACGAGCTAAGAAAATTTATCTAGATGAAAGCCCCCACAAATTTTGAACAATCGAATCAAATTACAAAAGATATTGGAAAGAAATTAATATAATAATCAGGAGGATGTATAAAGCGATGACATCATAGAAATAGAACTTCGAATATCCTCGCTATATCCCTGGACTTCAACGCATACAGCAATAATTGAGGCAAATACGAGATACAAAATCTCAACAGGACACTTGCTACATGAAGTAACGTATACTACGAGAAATATAGACTAATTATACCCTGTAGCAATCAACGAGCACACATTAATAACAGAACGCATATGATTAATTGAGAGGCCTCCTGTTACACGAATAAATGTTTCAATATTTCCAATTGGAAGCTTTTATATGAGAGAATATAAGGAACATATACAGACTGCACACCACAACAGCGTTTAGTTCGGTGCCTTCTCGAACCGATGGCGAAACTTTGAATTCAATGTATGATTTTGTGCATTTGCCGGAAATGTATTTGCACAATACATGTGAGAAAATATCGCTGAAGCAACAAGATCGTAACCTGGATTCAGTGCTATCAATTTCCTATTGAAAATCGAGAGGGTCTCAGTACTTGAGTACTTGAGTACTTTGAGTGCTCAGTACTCAAAGTGGACCACGCACCTAACTCTGATTTGCAGGAAATCAGCATATTCATCAGAAAATTGGGTATATTAACTAAGATCACAAAAATCTATAAATTTCTGTTTAGGATAGTAGAAAACTAGTCCACCTGCGAAAATGGTATCAAAATTCCATTATGCAATTTACGAAAAAGATGTAAACGAGTATCGAAAATTTTACAGTTCCAATGTATCAAAAAAAAAATTAATTCTCGTGAGCCGTAAAACATAAGGAGTCCAATAGCAATCCCAATATCTAAGCAACACGGTTGATTTGATGCTGAATCCTGAAATTTCAAATGGACAAAAGCCTCTTGCCGCAAACAACGAAGGTTTCCAACAGGAACCATAGGTCTTGAGCACTGAGCATCCAGTCACGCTTGCTATAACTATGGATAGCAATTGATAAGAAATGTATCCATGTAAGTAAAATAAGGACATTATGATAGTTTTATACTTTTCCGTATCTCTCAATTCTCCCGTACCATATTTTCCCGCATTCAAAAGTGCATCAAATTCAAACTCAGAAGGAGAGGTCGAGTATCGGGTTCGCTGTCTGCGAGCTCCGCGCCATGTGCCAGTGTAGCAAAAATATTCATTAACAGCAATAAGATTCATAAGGCGGCAGAAAACACATCAAAAATTGCATAGATAATTACAGAAAGTAGAAATATTAGCATAAGCGCAATGTGCACTCCAAATTACGCGACAGCAATGGCAGGTAGGTAGCAATGAGACGGATTTGACATGAAGATCCGTTGCTGAGGTTTTTGGGGCAACGGGGCATCGATCCAATAATTTTGGGGCAAAAAATATTTTTGGGGTAAGGGGTAACTGAACCAATAACTCATACGAGTCTCGCTCGGACAACGAATAGTCTCTACAGTATTCGGAGAAGGTAGCATATGCGGAAAAGTTTACATTTGCAGACTTTTTCTTAGTTCAACCGAGATGAATAAATATTCAGTGACAAACAATTTAAAGTTTAGACAATGAGAACTTATCATATTTTGATAAAAAATCATTTTTCAATTTGCATACGTTATCAAACTAGTTAATAAATGTGCATAATATTAAGTATATTAAACAAACGCAAAGTCCCAGGTAATTAAATTTTTCTAATACCTAAATTTTACAGATAATCGAGTCTCATACCTACACGAAAACGCACTACCATCATTGGCATATAATTTAATGCTACAAAACTAACAAGCTGGAATAAAAGCACACTCTTCGTTACACCGATCACAGCGAATTTGATTAGTTAAAGATCATGGAAGTTATAAGTTAGAACATTTAAGCGGGAGTGAAATGTTCTAGCATCTAAAATCCACTCGTTGTATTGAGAATATTTGTTAAAGGCTTTAGGAAAGAATCTATGTACTTGGCATGTGGAAAATAATTCCAATCAAGAAGGAAGCTCCATTGAATGACCTATTCATAATGCACAGCAAGTTTGCGTTAACACCAAAACTGGAATAAAATTGTTACGCAGAAGAGGAGTAAACAATTAAACCAAAAAATACAGAATTTGAGTGCGACAATGTAGATTTGATTAATCGGGACAAATATCAAGTGAAACTGTAACCTTTACAAAAGAGATGCATAGCACATCGGACTGATAATGATCAACCGTCTCGGAAGCAAAGGCATCAAAAAAGCATATAAAAGAACGACATACGCGTCAATTCTTCAGTCCTAACAGCAAATGGCAGAAACTTGTCAACAATATTCGCTAGTGCATTTCAACATCGTCCTGCCGTTATTGACAATGAACTAGAGCAGGCATAGCACCTGTCAGGCTCAGGAATTCTATAATAATTAACACCGAGATCGAATGGAGCAAATTTTATGAATCCATCAACTGTTGAAGATCGTAATTATACAACTATTTTGATAGGGGATAAAATCTATGCCTATGAATAAGGATTAAAAATGATGCTTATACGAGAAAACATTGAAAAAGACTTATGAGAGGAACGTCAAAAATATCTTGGAAAACCTTACTAAGTCTGTGTCGACGTGATATACTACGTACGTAATACTAATTCTGAAGATTGGAAGAAATACTTGTGTTAAACTGCAGACGGCAGCAAGCTGTCCAGGTCACAGCGTGTCTAAACTACGATTGATGCAGAGCACTTATACAGAACCCGCTGATTATGATCACCAGCAACTAAACACGCTATGCAATATGGAAAAAACGTCGAAATAAAATTACTATCCAAGAACGGAGTAAAATTTACATACAAGTAAATTTACATTGAAAATTTAACATGAATGATGGAAACTAATAGCCCTTCTATCATAATTGTAAAAAGACATCAGTCAAGACTACTGAAGAAAATTATGTCCATGTTATTAGAAAAAAGCTAACAAAAATGTAATTTGATCATCTCATGTTTTCAGTTGTTTGGATGAAATTGACTCATAAAACGACTAATGATAGTATTAAACTATTTTTTAAGATCCTGAAGAAGCAAACTTACGCACAAACTAGAATCTAGCAGAATTTCAACAAAAATCAACTCGTAGCCAGCAAAAATGATGGAATAGCGACGCAAGAAGGTGAGTACTGAAGAATAATTATGTGTAAAGCTTCGAGCTAATAGCTTAACTAGCGTCCTATTCGAGTTATCACAGGCCCCGCGAGAGGGCGGCGTGAGGCGGCGCGGTTCTTCAGGCCATGGCGTGGCACTTCAGAGAAATTCAGTTTCATGTCGAGTTACTGTTAATTGGCAACGCGCATGAGGCAAATCCGGATAAAATTGAGGGAGAAAGTAAGGGATATTGATGAATGCGTATCCGAAAACAGACAATGAACCACAATTCATAATTACAGTCTCAATATAATGAGCTGATCGAAGGCTTATGAGATTGTACAAGAAATTAATATAAGACTAGTATGTTGAAACTAGTTTCTGAAACACAAACAGCGTGAAATAATTAGTAGATGCTAGTTATGCAAGATCTACAGAAAAACGGACAAACATAAGTTTGGCAGGCATCGGTGCAACACTTGTGGGAAGCATTTAGTGTAAAGCAGAGTTCACCTCAACCACGGCCATCAGTCCCTCCTGCATCTCAATTAGTCGGATCGCATCGACTTTTTGCTATATTGCCTTAAATCTCATAATAAAGTCGAAAAATTAATAATCTTAGATCGAAGCGACTAGAATGGCTAGGAAATTCCTAATAATAACTCGATCATTGAAAGATGCGATGCAACATTATTTTAACCACCGCGCACAGTCAGGACTCAAACTGTAACAACAATCGAGCCAACCGTCCAGTAGTTAGGTAACTAACTATAGCTGTTAGTCGAGCCGCCACTACAGTAGTTAGGTAACTAACTATAGCTGTTAGTCGAGCCGCCACTACAGCAGTTAGGTAACTAACTATAGCTGTTAGTCGAGCCGCCACTACAGCAGTTAGGTAACTAACTATAGCTGTTAGTCGAGCCGCCACTCCAGCAGTTAGGCTATAATCAATAACTTATCACGGAAGTATTCGATGTCTAATCATTATATTCTCTAGAGATAAAGTCGAAAGCTATATTCTGAATCGCCACGCCACAACTTCACACCGGAATTAAATTTTCAAAAGCATTACCTAAGAAGTTGAATGAATAAATTCGAAACTCGGCTCTCCTACAAGAACTAATGGGGAAACAACATCGAGTTTTTGAAACTTCATATTTGTTCTGAAAAATTACTTAGAAAGATGAGCAGGCTTGGGAGTGCGGCGATGCCAACGAGCGTTCAAGTCCATGAGGTCCCACAGCCTCGTTCATCATATAGACATAAAAACTCGATGAGAAGTCATTTCAATTTTTATACATAGCTTCTATTAAGAATACCAATTAATTTTATCAACTGCATAAAAGAAATCGACAAATTAAGTCACACTAAAAGTTCGTTTACATGTACTTGGCTACGTGTCATTACCTCACGAGCTACCGGAAATACAATGCATCACAGACCCACAACTGATGCAATGAAAATCATTGCTTCATATGAACCGCTACAAGACGCTCCTCTAATGCAGGAGCTGACTAGTACTACGCACCTATTATTATCGTTATCATTATCAATCAGAGCTAAGAAAACTACACAAGTTATAAGGGAGCATAAATGGCTTTTAATATTATTGCATGAACGGTGTCGCGAGAATGAGCAGCAGCATAACCAAATAAATCGGAATAATACCAAGCCACCGTTTCAAGGTTTTCCATTTTGTCAAGAATGAGGAACCAATCGTTACTAGGACCACCGAGAAGCCCGCCACGTTCTCTATGGCAACATGCATCAATACACCTTAATTAATATCAGAGCAAAGCTTGCGGTTTACCACACGGTAGAATCCTTCACTCCTATCCATAATGTGGTAGTATCTTCATGTCTAAAAATTTCGGCTACAGATTTGGTGAGTCATTCAGGCTTGGCAGTCCTCCGTTCCAACGATTCTTCGGGAAGAAGAAACATAATGCCTAATACTGGCTGCTTTTGACTCCGCCTAGTAAATGTAGACGCTCTAACGCACGCTGCTCTAGACCCAGCAACTGCCAAGAGTCCACGTAAGTTTAAAGCTGAGAAACAAAGTCAGAAATTTAGTTACTTTGATTCATTCCAGAACCATAATATATTTAATGACAAGCTTAGTGAGGTAGGAACTGAACTCGCAGGTCATGACATAGTTATCGAAAGAAAGTAGTAATCGAAATTGTTGACCAAAATTAAAACTTGTAACAATCTAAAACTGAACCCCACACTACGAAGCCGTACATAAATTCAAGAGCTACATTGATCGTCCAAGCAACGAGTTATGCCGACCACATCACAGGAAGATGGTAACCGTCGACCTCAGGGTTGTGGCTGAATCTTAAGCTGAAGAGCTGCACCTCACGCACCAGGAGGTGCTTATATGCACCTCATGTGCACACCAGGAGGTGCTTGGACGCACCTAACGTGCGCTGGAGGTGCTTGGTCACCTCTCACATCGCACGCAACATAGACAGGTTCTCAAGACGTAACAAGTTGAAACAAATATTAAGGCTCCAATGGTCGAGTGTTTCATTCACAAGTGATTAACAATGAATGCCGGAAGGAACCAGCGTCTGCAATAAAACATTAGATGCCCCAGAACACTTGAATCGTTCACCTTCCACAAGATATATCCACTTTACTATCAAGAACGTGCCTGCAATTGCATTAAAAAATATTGGGATCTTCAGGGTTACGCTGATGCAAACACGGCTTCTGGACTGGACAAGTCAACGAGAAGCAGCAGTTTACAACAGCCGAGACCGAGAGTAAGGACAGGGTGTCATCAAACTGGAAATTTTTTGTCGTAATCGACTAGGAAATTCTTCATTTATAATAGGGATAAAACCGGATAACGAAACAGAACTAACTTAAGAGATTTGCCAATGAGAAATTCTTCATTAATTGAACGTACACATTGAAAATCGACTACTTTGATACACGATATTGTGAAGGCTCACTCGCGCGGCATTCGAAAGTCCGTTTAAGAACTATCGCTTTCTTTGCAGCTTAACTGACGTAGTAAGCCAGAGGGTGGAATAAAAATTGATTCGCTAGTTCCACCCGTTTACAGCCGGTCGTTGTGAGCCGCAAGAATTGGATCTAAAAGAGGATTATGGTAACGCAATGAGAAGAACTCCTCGGCCACGAAAGGAGAGAACACAAAGAGAAGTTCGTGTTGAGGCAAGAAGTGTCAGTAACCCCTCGCACCTTCACCAGCCTCCTCCACCTCCCTAAAGCCATAGGAGGCAGTGCTGACCGCTGCTGGGCGAGGGAGCTGCCTGCTAGAGTTCCGTCACTGGCACGGGCTTGTGCGAGGCCATGATGTACTCAGGGTAGTCGGGGGGGTAGGCGCGCAGGTCCCTGGAGCAAGTGCTGCCCGAGCACCGACCGTTCCACTCGTTGCGCGCGTTCCACTCCGGCCTCTTAAACATCTCGCGTAACAATGGGCGGCGATGGCGGAACAACAGCACCAAAATCACGCCGATGAGGACGGCGAGCAACACTACCACGATGGCGCCGATCATGAGGCCTTGTGTGGCGGGACCCATGCCACACGAAACATCCGCGATTTCTGTTGTGGCGAGAGCTTTGCCAGAGAGTCGTTGCGGCGTCACACACAACACTGCAGGCTTACTGCTGTTGATGTCAAGCTGTTCTCTGAGCCAAGCGATCGAACAATTGCATTCGAAGGGATTTTCGTGCAGCAACCAAATTGGAATGTCATTCCACACAGCCACGTCGCGCTGTAAGGTCATCAAGTTGTTCGCATGCAGGTCTAGATAAGTCATTTGAGTGAGGAACCGAAATGTACCGGCAGGTATTATCCAAAGCTTAGGATTACGAGCGATGATCACTTTACGAAGATCTAAATTAGATTTGAAAGTCTCGCTGGACATTCTCTCGAGCTCAGGACAGCCAACGATTTCTATGATCTGCAGACGTCTGTTTTTGTCCAGAATTTGAGGCCCCAACTCGACGAAGTCGTTTCTGTTGAGGTACAGACTCTCAAGCCTATCCAGGACACCTAAAGCTTCAGTCGGGACAGCTTTGAGACCACAGTCATCAAGCCGAAGAAGTCTAAGGTCTTTGAGGGACGAAAAAGATCCAGCATGAAGACCATCTCTTAGAGGCGCCCCAGAAAGATCTAGCGAGGTGAGGTAGGACAGCGGCGCCAGGTCCTCCGCCAGCAGAGTAGAGAAATTATTGGTGCCGAGACTGAGCTCGGCAAGATACGGCACTTGGGACAGAGCCTGTGCCGGCACCGCGTCCAGCATGTTGTTGCTGAGCTGCAGCACCCGCAGCAGGCCCAGGGGCTGAAAGGCTTGGTCGCCGATGGAGTGAAGTCTGTTGTGGGACAAGTCCAGCATTTCCAGGCGACTCAGGTGCTCGAATGTTGTGTCCGGTATCTCCATCAGTTGATTCCCGCGCAAGGAAAGCACCTGCAATACAAAAAATACTGAAAACTGCGTGATCATTACTAACAAATTGTTCACATTTCCAAATAAGTCGAGGTATTTGAAGAAAGCCTCAGATCATTCAGAAATTAACATATTAAATTGACTTTGGATAGACACCAAAACGACCAAGCAATTGTGCCGTGTTCCAATAGTCGTGAGGTTACCCAGCCTCTCGAATGAATAAAATATAATGTTATCTATGCAGACAGCTGGTGAAGACTTAGCACCACCCCTGTGAGCGGTTAACTCACCGTCAGGTTGTGCAGGCCAAGGAAAGTGTCGGCGTTGAGTCTCGCCAGTTTGTTGTTGGCCAAGTGCAACTCCTCCAAGTTAGGCTGACACTCGAAACTCTTCGCGTCGATGTGGTTTATTTCGTTGTCACTGGAAAATATTGATCATTCAAAGAACTTCTAAACGAATATTTTATTTTGTTTACAGCGCCTGCCAACACCGAACCCAACACAAGTTCAGGTGGCAAAGTTTGACCCAACATTCTAATGAATTAAATACGGTAGTTGGCAACAAGTCACGTCGTTAACAAAGCTACTTTGCTCTCGCCACCAAATTCTCCAAGTTTTTATAACAAAAATCAAAGCTTCTCTCACTCTCCGACTCCCCGTGCACCTTGAATCGAAAGCGACCATTAACCTAAAAATTAAACCATAGTTAGACTATTTAATCTAAGTTCTGCTAAAAAATTAACTAATATTTCAAGTCCTATAATACCTCAAATTGACGTGTCTAAGGTCGGTGTAGAACCTCAAGGACACGAGGTAGAGCGCGTGTATCTTGGTCTGGTGGAGCGACAACTGCAGTAGCCCCGGACTCAGACACATTGGCACCAGGTCGATAGATGGGTCAGTGCACTTTACAACTCGTTTCTGAAAATAACATAATAAATTAATATGCTACATACGAAAACTTGGATAAAACATCCTTCAGCAATAGCTTTATTAAATACATTACGCTATGTTTTGTGAGCGGTCGAAAAACTATGATGCATTAACGAGACCGAATTGATGTAACCTATATGGAATATGAAGGAAAATATTTACCGCAGTTAGTAAGTAATTCAACGCAATAACTTGCCGTATAACGATAAACAATGTATTTTAAATTTATTATGACCGTCTTTATAAGTTTATAATCGCCATGTTAAATTTTCAATCAAGGATGTTATCGAAGAAGCAAACTCAATAATGGGACAACTTGCAATAAACAAGCTGAACGGATATAGCTGCCACAGCTCACCTCTTCACCAGTCTCACACTGAAATCTGTCGATGCAGATGGAAGCGTGGGCGCAGTCCAATATCAGCATGAACATTAACATAGGTAGAAACAGGCACAAGATCTTGGTGGAAGCTGCGCATCGCGGCACCAAAACCCTCTCTGAAGAAGCTATGGAGTCTGTAGTTCCCTCACGTTGAGGCCGCGCTCTTCTGAGTCTGTGGTCACCGTAAGATCTACGGGAGGCGACGGTTTTAGCATACGAAGAATTTCCAGGCGTTTTTAACGCTCTCGAATAAATACTGTGTTCAATTCTACCTTTAGACTTCCTTTGAAAGTTTTGAGCATTTGGAACGTGGTTTGTATCATTAAAGTAGTTACTTTCTGTGCTACAAGACATCGAGGAAATGTTGGGGTATTTTGAAGATGTGACGTGCCTTGACGATGGACAGTCACTGTGAGCAATGAAGGTCTCATGTAGAGCCGTAGAAATTTGAGGTGAGCTTATTTGATCTTTGGTTGAACATGAAAAACGAAAACTGAGATCATTGTCAATCGAGACAGGATGTTGGCAGCTGTGAAGCGGTCGTCGTCTGATGGTGGCACCGCCGCGGAAGGAGACAGCACTCAAGCGCTGCATTGCTTCACACATGGTATGACGATCAGCAATACTTTTCAATGCTGAGTTATTAACTGCCACAAAACGGCATTGGGCTTCAGTGAAGAAATGTGTATTGATAGCATGTAGAATGTATTAATAGCATGTAGAATGCATCGATAGCATGTAGGAACAGATCCAGAATGTACGTCCTCTCCAAGCTGGGTGGGAAGCAGTGATGCGTGAGCTGAGTGCGAGGAGATTCTTCAGCTCTTCAGAAGATTCGATATTCCACGAAGCTGCAGAGCTCAGCAAACTACCCTGAGACTCGTCTGGTGATGCAGCTCCCACCGAGCGACATCTGAAAAATGAGAGGCTAAAATTAGAGTTGCCGTTTACTTCTTTGCATTACACAAATGATCAACAATTCTGAGATTAAGGACAGTGAGGCGATAGGGCATTATTTAGCATTGTCTAGACTCTAGGGTATAGTGGACAAGTAAGTTAAGTAAGTTAATTGAAGCAAAAATAAAATATTTATTCAACTTGTCAAACTCTAACGCTTACAAATCAAGTATGGTTTTCAGATGATGTCCAACGACATGAATAGCTTGCAAATAACCCAATAATCGAACGATATGACCATTGGCATTGTAGCAGACGTGCAAGTGTGCAATAAGAATACAACGGAAACATGTTCATTAATTATTTCCTAAGATCAAACAATAATGAAATGTAAAACAATATATTCTCACGTGTCATCGACTCGATGCGATAAACGCTAACGCAGTAATTTGCAGATTATGCAATGACGTAATGGCATGGCAGCTAATGATACATCAGGCAAGAGCAGCCATGCCAGCAGAAGCAGCAGACATCTCTGGGGCACAGAAGTGTCCAAGTTGGGCCATAGCAGCAAGAAGGGAAGGCCTGAGATAAGCCGCTTTAGTCAGGACCATAACCTTCATTATGCCCGCACGAAACGGCTTTCTCAAACCTACAGACGCACTCCGTGTCCGGCCCGGGTTAACAAACGACCAGGGTTATGGGTAGGGGGCAATTTAAAATAGGCAATATGGTCTCGAGAGCGGCCTTGTGTCTCGGAAGCCGAACGTTCTGCCAAATGTGATGGCTTATGATGGTTGACATCGCGGCAGTCTTCTAGAAATAAGTAGCCCATATTGCGGAGCAAGAATGAAATACAGTACTTGCAGTGACGTGAACACGAGTTTAAAAAGTGAAAAAAAGACGGAAAATGCGAGGCAGTTCGTAAAGTATATCTTACACTTTTTTTTTTTTTGATGACATGTTATTGGATCTACAAATAAATTTTAATAAATCGGCAGTTTTAATAGTTGAGAAGACACACGTACCAAAAGACAGGTGCTACTTTCAATTTTCAGGTCAAAAATTAAGAGGCACCAAATGATCTATGTGCTAAAAAATGATAAATTCACGATCGCATGATATTCATGCGCTTTTGTTATTAATAACAGATTTTCCAAAATAGCATAACATATTTCATAAACTTCAATAGATGGATTATACTTAGCAAAGAATTTTCGGCCATGGACTTGTTTTCCTCTAGACAAACGAGGACTTCAAACGAAGCAGCTCCAATTCATTCATCATTCACCACGTTTCAAGGAATACGCAATTAATCGTGCATTGTGAATTAATTAAAGCAATTTATTGGAATTAATTCATTGATAAAATAATTATTTAAAAATAAGACACAATATTTTGACATTAATAGGCAAACAAAATAGACTGGAGAAATGAGAGCACAGCAAGAAACGTATATAAGAGCTGCTAATGGGTTTTGCATTTGTTCAATTCGATATCAATTGGGAGTCATCAGCGCAGAGTAAATAACGCTAAGCAAATTTTCCATTAGGCCACAGAATGCCGCACTTGCCAAGGGAGTTAAGTGAAAATGAAACGCAATTTTCAACCACTCCCTTCATTTTCCCAAACAACCGCGATAAGGAAGATAAATGAGCCTTTCCGTCGACACCGCGCAAATTGAAGGGAAGACATCATGGGTGCTTGGCGTAATTGCCGTCGATTGTAATGTAGTGCACAGAGGTCAGGGCAACACGCATATCCTCATCCAAGCGACAAGGTTGAACTCGGTTAATTCCTCAACATCAGGGAAGCAACACCACTCAAAACAATGAGCCCCAATTTGGGGTACTAAATCTTGACGAGCGCCAACTCATCAGTAACCTCACAGCATCGTTACCTCGTCAGAAATATTAGCAGGCGGCGCTTGTTCGATGACTGGAGTGTTTTTTTAGTACGGCTTGGTGGATGGATGGCTAATCGATATACACATTAGCAATTCTTCTCTAATTCACAAGAACACAGGTGTACCGAAACAAAAAAATTATTGTGAGCCGCAGCGAACAATATTTAGTGCTACCTTAATCATCACTGCTAAGCTCGATTCACGAGCGAAAAAATGCGCTCTCAACAGTTGAAGCTTTTTTCTGCCCGTATATTTTCTACGCGTCCGTGAATCTTGACTAAAATTATTACAAAATTTCACAAGGTTGCTTGGTTAAAAAATATCACGGGGCTCAGTTAAAAAAAAATATAACTCAGTACTCACTGCAGCGAGTGACAGAGAGCGTATTTTCTCGTCGACGAAAACGTGAAGTCAGGGACAGACGGACAGGCGGACGGACAGACGGACATGAGCATAATAGCGCTTTTTTGTTAAAAACCCAACCCAGGGTGGGTGAATTCTCTATGCAGACTATCTACAGTAGTCATTAATAGCAACTTTGCTGTAGCATTAGAAACGTAACTTGAATAATGCAAATTGAAGAAAGTGATGACAAACACTCTTTCAACTATCGCTTCTGAATTGGATAGAAGCTATTATTACTCATCAATGTAAAAAATAATAATTTTTACATTAAATAAAATTTCAGTTTTGCAACCGGAACCTCATTTTGCAATGCCTCAATTAACCTTTTACCACCAAAATAACACTGCCAGCAGAGGTGATGTTGTAACACGGTTAACATCGTAGATAAACGCTCGAACAGTTCCTGTACATTTACAGCGCTAGGCTTCAAACACGTATCGAATTTATGGGTACAAAATAGAACTAAGCATTCTTATGTGAATAACCGATTCTTTCATTCGATTTAACGTTGCAAAAAAATTGAAGTGATAACGATATTACAAAATTCCAAAATAATTCCAAAAGTTTTCATGACATATCCTTACATTTAACATTTAATAACACTATTGCACCATATTTGACATAAAACGTAGATAAATAAATGTAATAACAACCCATCAATCTAAAGGCATAAGTCAGAAACGAAATAGTTTGTCGTCATCGTTTGTTCATTGCCCTCGAGAGCAATGCCAGAACAATTCCTCAGCCTCTCTGCAACTGCCAGAATAATGACCAAGCTAAAAGCAATGTCGGCACTTTATGGACGAGACATTGCGTGACGAGGAGCAATTGGGCACCAAACACAACAAGAGCTTGGACAAAGCTCGGGCTAAGAATACAAAGTGTCCGTAATGTCTGTGCCCAAGCTGGCTCAACTCCGTGGGTATCAGGAAGAGGAGCTGGCTTAGCATTCATAGCACCCACAAAATTATCGCAATGATCTCGTTAGTCGCTTTACCGCCCCAACTTGAGCACTTTACCATGTTAGCGACCGCACTCTTCTCGCAGAGGTCCCTCTTTTCTGGCTGTTTTGAAATAATTTCTACGCTGAAGAAAAACCATTGGAAGCTCAATTCGTGTCCTCATAGCGATCTTGGGAAAAGTACCAGCGTAATTACAACTGATAATAATCGTTACTTAAGCCTGTGCTAAGAAAATTTATATCCAGTGAAGTTCTCTTTAGACTACTTTCTATCAGTTGAGGTTTTTCAAGTAATAGATCGATAATTAAACAATCTGCATTATTTATGGTTTAAATGAAGCGATAAATGAACCGAAACAAAGTCACCAATTGAATAAGAAGAATTCTCTTATGAATGCAGAACTCGTGGATTTTCTTCAGATGTCGAAAACGTTACTTATTTTGCTGGCATATCAGAAATAATAAGACCGAAATAGCAGAAGGCAGTCTAGAGAAAATTTCCCGCTATCAGAATTGGGGCTCATTTCCCCCGGGAAATGAGATGGGAACACAGGAGCAGCTTCGGCTTCCCTGCCAAAGCTGCGCGCGGACGCGTCTCTTTCTGTGCGGATTTCATTGTACAGGCGAGCCATGCAGGGTGTCAAAAGCCACGGCATCCTTGAATTCTGGAACTAAAACTGAGAGCCACGGCGCAATGGCAGGCAAATGCAACAGATTTTCCGAGGAACATTTCGAAGGACGCTGACTTGTGGACGCCCCGGCATTGCGCCTCAGAAAGAATTCGGCTCCTCACATCGCCGCCCACATGAGAATGAGCGCAATTTTTGGTGGCAGGTCGAGTTGTCATCGACACAAATCTGCCCTGGAAAAATATGAAAAAAGTAGGCCTAAAATCCAAAAGAAGTCTGACCAATCCTTGACACTAATTCTCTTCGTCTGCGGCCGTATTTAAGAATGTGTGTGAAATGCGAGATAATCTTTGAAACCAACAGTCACATCTTCTTCTTTCAAAATTTACTGAACAATCTCTGGAGTCTTGCTGCCACAAAGAGTTTATCGCACTGTAGTCTATTATAAATGCAGTCACTCTGTATGATGAATCAGTTGAGGTTCATGGCACAAGGTGAAAATTCCACCAATTATGAAGCAGTGCGCAGAAACCTGGTATATAATAAGCTCGCAGACCCGCAAGAAAACAGTATATAAAATAACGAGAGATCCTGAAGGCGTCTCAACCTATATATATAGTCTCGCATGCAAGATGAAAAAATAATTGCTCTAGTGATAGAATAGAATTCATGAGATCGTCGAAGCGACTGTAACAGCGTCGATAGAGCAGCAGCGGCAGTGAGGCATGATACTATACGGTAGCAGGTCGAACTTCATCACAATCATCAGTTTAGAGCGTCCAGTAATAAATTGTCTTCTTTCCAGGCAAGTCGCGGGGACACAATGCAAGCAATTTTACGGCCAGCAGAAGATGAGCTTAAGAAACGCACGCAAGACCAAATAAAGTCTTGATATTACGAGGAATCATCAACGAAAATCTTGTTCTAGACTTTTTATGATGCAATTTCTGTCAGTGCAATGAGTAGCTTCACCGTCGCACCGGTTCGCTTAAGGAACTATTTCAGAGCGCGAACGTTGAACAAACCTAGAGCCGCTTTTCGGCTTGCGAGTTTTTCTTGCTTCCAAAATCATCTTGTGGCCTAAGGAACTTGTAGGGCCCCAAGGTGTTCC